ATATCGGAAGATTTTTCATATAATATACTCGAAGCACGTAGAATAATGCGTCGTATACAAATTAAAAAAAATTATCGTATTTCGTATTTTTTTTTTACGTGTCCTCATCAAACTCGATCGAATATTTCTGCGGATTTCGCGTCGTAAAACACCACTGCACCGCATGAATATTTTCTTTTGAAAGTAGTACTTAGATAATCATTATATACCTTTGAAGTATACAATTTTCAACACTAATTGTTGTTAGAGAATATGCCTAGTCGATCGATCGATTTCGTGTTTTTTTACAGAACAATACTTTATTAGGTTTCCTTTAAAACAAGAACTTGTGCCACGAAACGCCAGTCACTATACTATATACAGTTCTTACTCCGATACACACTTTTTATTTGTTAATCTTCTGATGGCCGGGATAGAAAAAGTACCAAATAACTTTTGACACGATTCCGTTAAATTTTTTTAATTAAGTATAATATAATAGTACATAATATTTTTATTATTTGTTGTACACAATGATTTTTATTTTCTCAAAATCAACCGATTGTCTAAGAAAATTAATTAGGTTTTTTCAGTCATAATATAAAATCGTTCTGCGATACTATTCCGTGCACTATAAACACATGTCAACTTTTGATTTTTAAGGTTGTAGTTTTCAAATCCAAAGTGCATACACATTAAAGGTCTATGGCCTAGGGTTAGACCCGTGAAATTAGTGTTAAAATAAAGCCCAAACATTTCCATAAAAAAACAAATTCGAGACCTAAAATCATTTCTCTTAAAACCTTTCGAAGGAAACTCTATAAAAAAAACAATAAAAAAATAATAATACCCTGTAAGATATTAATAAAACTGTAGTTATACTCGTATGTTATTTGTTCAAACATATTATATTTATTAATATTTATGACATAATATTTGACGGACACAGATAAACCGAATAGAAACACTTCAAATAGAATATTCTTTTTTACTTTATTATTCAGCTTATTGGAATAGCGTATTATTATGAATTTATCATAAAATTCGTACTAAAATTATTAATAATAATAAAAATTATATATTTAGAACACAAAGTGTAACGTTTCGGTTTTGTTTTTGTTTTTTTTAATATTATTGTATTTTTTTTTAAAAACGTTTTTGTGTTTCAGGTGATCGACAATCGCGATGATTATCACCGGTACTTACGTCCGATCGAATCTATTATTGTAGTCTTCAACGGATGGCATTCGTACGTTTCGGGAAAATGGTATCGAATCTGTTTTTAGTGGCGCTGCTCATCAATGGTAAGTCATTCAAACCGTATATTCAATTTATGTTTCAAAAATCTCCAACCAAAACAATATACGCATAGTATGATATAATATGTATACATAATATAATGATGTAATTTTTTAGTGGGTACGTACCGAAAATATATACCATTGCCCATGTATCCATTATCTTTCGGTGTAAACGGTAAAAGTTTATACTTACTCTAACACGTTTTATACTGAATATTAAAATATCATAACTCGCTATTTTTTTTTTTTTTTGACATATGTTATACTATTTTTCGGATTAACCTATTTAGAACGGTTACTCAACGCTTAAACCAATTAGCAGCTGTGTCACTGTTATCGCATTACCTATTATATATTCGCAACGATAAATCTGTACTAAAGAAATGCAGTTATGAACGTCATTCGATAAAGCATGTTTTTTATGCAGTCATTTTTCGCATTCGTTGAAACTTGAACTTGAAACATTTATAAAATAAACTACTACATTTAGCCCAACAGAAATCTACATAAAACCAACAAAAAACTAAAAAAAATCTCCAAAATTTTAAATTCATAATAATAGCTCAAACTAATTTTACTTATTTTACCACGTATAAAAAAGCTTTTTGATTCAGGGCGAAAACAGGGATTTATTAAGTTAAATGAGACATGTGTTTTTTTTTCTGGCTGCAAACAGTTTTTTGAATAGTTATTTTTTTTTATTACATTTTGGATCTAATTATTGGTGCGTTATAGACGTTAGATTAGATTATTTTTTGATTTTCTAAGGTTGTTTTTATAATAATTGGGTTTATTGAAAATAAAATCATAGAAAAACCGTATTTTCAAATGTAGTACTTATTCTGAAAGAAAATCTTATTGTGCCGGTACTTTATTAAGGCAATTATTTGGTTTTTCCCATGGGTTTTCATAATAAATAGGAAAAACCTGGGAAAATGCAAGAAAAATGGGAAAATTCAGGACGTGTGTTATTTGTAAATCGTAAATATTACGGACTTAAAAATAATATAAAAACGAACTATGCTCAGAATCGTTTGTTCGTAAACAATGGATTATCGTTGCTGAGAGATATAAATTGAATGTTTACATGAATTCTATAATTCTTACTTTCCATCTATAATAACGACACATCCAACAGCAGAAACAGCTATGTTTTAAAAATATTCTGTGGAAATCGCAAGTATTTACGATTGAGATCTTTGAACCGAATTGCAATAAATAGTTGCAATTAATTTGTACAAATTACTCAGTTACTAGAAAAACTATACGGAAATAAAATAAACTATCTATTAAATGACAAACTAAACGTTTAGTTTGTTTTTTTTTTTAGAAAATTCACTTTTTTGAGTAAAATTCTTGTACAAAAATATAATTGAAAATATTACATACATCACAGTAAAAATAATAAATTTCTCTTTACGCCCAGAATCTAAAAAACAGTTGAATCATATTATTCTACACATTGTATACGAATCTATTATTTCTAAACATAAGCATATATTATAGGTGTGTACCGAAAACATACGTGTCGACCTTGTTATCAATACCACCGGTGCCGCCGTCTCGTTAATTATGTTCACTAATCTGATTGGGGACTGTTTGCGAACTAAAGCTGTACACAGAAATGGCTAATCTACAAACACCTAATTTTATATAGACAGACTCGAATTTTAATCAAATTACAAAGTACTTGGTAGATACCACTCACAGTCCCGTGAATCATTGAAAAATATATAGGAAACTATTTTTTATGTTACTTGTTATAATTAAATGAATAATCTGATGTACACGGCACATTATTTATAATATGTATAAGTAATAAAATACATAATATTGTCCAAAAAGACTAGTGACCACGTCTGAATAAAATGGACATATCATCGGCTGTTAGATGTCGTGAAGCGGGAAAAAGTGAATGCAATAAATCATGTCTGAAGTAAACGGTCATGGTATGAAAACTATTATTAGTTATTTATTGAATCTTACAAGTAAAAATAATAATACTGGGTCGTGTGATTTAGCCTTGGTCTGTGGTTTCTCAGGTATGTAAATAAAATTGTTTAATACACGGAACATTGTCAACGTTTTAGAAAAAAGAAAAAACTAAAGAAAAACAAGAAATTACCGAAAAATTAGACGGTTCTGTGGAAGTCAAAGTTTCCTGAAAAACTAATTGGTATTTATTTTTTTTTTTAACCACTATAACCGTGTAATACAATTTTACAAACTATAGGTACTCGTTTTTAATTTTGCTGTGTTAATAATTCGTTACTTATTTATTTTTTTAACTCTCTACATTTCTAGAGTTAAGAAAAAAAATTGTTTTTTTTTTTTTTTTTTTTTTTTACTGGATACCACTTAGAAATTATAATATCCATAGAAAAATTACAAATCAAAACCACTATTTACTGGCTATGTGCAGTCTACAATATCTATATCAGCTTAATTATAAACGTGTTCCAGAAAATTATTTTAATACGAAATAATCCGGACAAACGAACATTTCGTCAAGAAATATACTAATTACCAACCTTGTCAAATTCGCTTACATTTCACCTAATATGGATAAAACAAACAATTTTGGTTAAATTTCTATATTCACATAATATTGTCCGATCGAAGTATATTCAAATAAAGAGAAAAATCTAAACTCCGTCTTCGTGTGGCCTATAGTGCGGAGTGCCGATTCTCGCGGGCCTTTTAACTTAATAATAACTCCTCGTATTATTTTTCGTAGAGAAAAAAAACGCGGAGACAACTAATAATGTCATCGCTGTCGTCATTTCCAGTATCCCGACCTGATATTAATATGAAAAAAATTATGCAAAAACCTTTGTAATGTATGAATATGATAATAATTGGTCACTCTCGTGGGATGGCAGCCCGGGCTTACGGCTGCTGTCGTCATCGTAGTATTTTTGACGGATCACGTATTTTATCATTTTCGACCGACCGTGTTCACTATAAACTCCTACATCCGCCGTTCGTGTGGCCAGCGATGATTTTTTTCGCCAAAAATGTATGGCTATCGTAAAAAAAAAAAATTACAAATAGTATGATTCTGCTGATGGGCGTGTCATTATTTTAGGTGAGAAGTTTGAAGGGAAGATATACAGACTAATTTAATTTATATCTGTATGCAACGATAAACAATTTAAAAAAAAAAAAAGTTTGTAATTAGTCATATTTTTCCATTGTTGACCTGAAGAGACCACGGAAATCAACAAAACTCACATGAAAAATCGTTAGTTTTTCGCGTTTATTAAAAAATAAAACTATCAAGGAAAATAAAAATCCAACTTAGACGAGATCGAAAATGCTACAAGAAAACTGCTATAAAGTTTTTTGATTCGAGCAATACTTTTGGTAGAAAACTGACGTTTAAAAGACAACAAATAAAGAAGCACGTCACAGTGCCACAATTACAATCCTTGCTTCGCTCAAAATATAAATATATACACCGCATGCCGATGATATTTTTTCGTCGCAGGTTCATGACATCAAATACTGCAAAATAGCAAATACAATACCGGATTTATACAAAATTTGAGATGATGAATATAATTTTTAGTTTCTGAAAGATGCCAGGAATGTATTATAGTTTTAAAATAATAATTGTGTTATTTTCCTTTTTGTATTTGTGTGAAAAAGTTTACAACCAGAACGTATGCTTTAATCATCAGATGTGGTTTCTAATAGAGAATTCGTTCTTGGATTTTCGAGAGAGAAACCGAAAATAACTCGATAAACCCTCACAACTGGGTCACGCATTTATATTTTGCTGTCCGAGTATCGACGTGTCCTTCGTCCATCCCACGCAATAGCAATAAACCATCTTACATAATATTGTTTGGGTCCATTCGAACAAAGAACACCTTTATCGTCGATGTTTAATCATTTTTACGCGCATGATCACCCGGTGCGAAATGATTAATTTTCGTCCGGCAGATTTTTGTAAGGGGTAATTTTAAGACCCCGCGTATGCACCTGTAATAAACTTTTACAAAACAGGTGTAGCATTTTTAATACATAACACAAAATGTGTTTCGTATAGTCGAACAACTTCTAACAAAACTTATTAATATTTCAACCCTTAAAATTTCACTAAACGTGTGTTCCCGGCACATATACGCTCGTACCCGTTTTACCCACGTCATCGTCTACATTCACGTCTAATTTGTTTCAACATTCCCAAATAATATATTTATGCCCGGTGTTAAGTTCCGTCTAAATAAATAATTTCGATTGATATATTATTATCATTTATCTTTGGAAAAAAAAATAAAAAAAATAGGCTATCTGGGATAAATAATTGAACCCCATAGATTAATCGTTTTGAATCATAATTTGTACGTTTATCGGAAAAAATAGGTATTATATTTAATTTAAATGAATACGGCAATAATATTCACGAATGCGTTTACATAAAACTGGAATACTCATAGTGAAGTCAAAATAACAATTCGACAGTTGAAAGATTGCCTAAAAACAGTTTCTGATACTTTATAAAATTAAATCTGTAACATTTAATATCATTAAGTGCGAGAAAATTTAATTTCAAAAAGAACAAATGATTTTTCTTTTCGTTTAAAAAAAAAAATAATGAAAAAAATAAACAACAATCTAGTCATATATGTAGGTACTCTAAAACACTAAAAAAAAGTATGATTGTTTTCGTACATCGAAACCATAATTCTTGAAAAATAACGTAGTCCATATTTATTTTATTTATTTATTTATAATTCATACGGCCAAAGTCCGATTTACAATATAGTAATAATGATTACAGTAGTTACATTATTATACTTAAACAACTAATAAACTTCCCTATTAATATGAATTTGAAGAAACAATGGTATAAACTGTTAATTACGTAGGCAAAAACACTGAAAATTGGGAGTACAAAGGTAGAATTTGTTATATAATTAAAGTAATAATTAGGAAAGTAAATTAATAAATTTGGTTTTTATATTAATACAGTGATCACTTTAATAAGTTATCAATAATTTGATTATTACCGGAAGACATTAAAATATTAAAGGTGTCATTTAACATGTAACTTTGAGAGTAATGGGGTATATAAAATATTTGATTACTGCGGAAATTATGCGTATTTATTTTAAAATTTATCTAGGTAAGTAGAAATGAACCATCGATCTCATTATTAATTAATTTAAAAAGTAAGGAGTTAGAGGTTTTATCTCTCCGTGTTTTTAATGGTTCTAAGTTTAACATTTTTAAAATATTTTAGTATCCAGAGTGGGGGGAGGGGGGGGTTCTTGGGATATTAGATTTTAAAACATATTTTTTAGAGGACTTTGTTTTGTACATTTTCAAGTTAGTCACAATAGCCAATGCTGTTATTATTTCAAGTTATCATGAATTGAACGGATAAGAGAAGTATACAGACATTTAATGATTAGTGGATCGTTTAATTCGGAACAGTTTCGATTTATCAGTGTCGCTTTATCAAAAGAGATAATTCTTTATTTTTAATGGCCAATAAAAAAAAAAAAAAAAAAAAAAAAAAAAAATTGGAAAAAAATGTAAGATTAGTCATCATGAGCCCCCACACAAGCATACTCAGAGGGGTCCATTATTCTTGAAATAATTGCTTAATAATAATAACATATGTGCGTGTTAAATAATAGTTTCGTGTCGAATTAAATGGTTTTTACCATACATGCACGAACTAAATTAGTGTTAATAATTAAAGTTCAATGGTCTATGTTTTTAGAAATGTTATAACTTGGCATTTATCAAAATTAAGTTAAAGTCCATTTGAAATTAATTAGGTCATTTGCAGAATTAGATTATCATCTAAGGGTGAGATTGACCTGTAATATTTTGGATCATGGGCAAATAAAAGAATATTAGAACTTGAGTTTTAAAACGCCACATCATTAATAAATAATTTGAAAAGGAAAGGAGAAAGATGATCACCCAAAGTTACATCTATAGGAACTGATATAAAGTTCTGATATTTAACTGTTTGTGTTCGTTAATATAAAAATAAGTTAATCCATTATAAAAGTGGATCGGCAAAATCAATTTTGTGAACTTTGTGAATTAATAGTTCATGACTGACACTGTCAAAGGCCTTTTTAAAGTCGGTGTAGATGAAATCTGTTTGTTGGCCTGTAGCGAAAGAGTTGAGTGTATAATGTTTGAGAGATATTAGATTTGTTATTTATGATTTATTATTACAAAACCCGAGTTGATGTGGTATTCAAATATTTTTGAAAATTGCAGAAAGTTTATAGTTAACAATTTTGAAAATATTTTTGGGAGAATAGCGATTAATAACATAGGTCGATAATTAGAAACTATTGGTTTATTCCCTTTTGTATATAGGAGATAGACGTAGGTGGTTTTTCATAGTGATTGGACACTTTTCTTTTTTGGAGTAGTATTAAAACGATTTGTAATAGGGGGAAATATAAATTTGCAATTTAATAGAAATGAAAGAGATAGGCGATCCAGACGTACAGAATTTGTATAGTTAAGTGTATTTTGCTCATTGAATACTTCCATATGCTCTATGCCAGTCTTGTCTGTAGAGTCATATGATTTTTATATTTTAGGTGTGATAGTATTAGTTGGATTATAAGTACTTTTATAAATGGTAGAAAAATAAGTTAACAATGTCTTGTCCATTTTCTGGTGTTTTATGATTGAGGGATATAGAATTTCGTAGACCCGATGATGAGTTGAGGTTTTTTATGAGAAGTCAAAATGTTTGGTTTTGAAATTTTAGAGAATGTTTAATTCAGTATTGTTTAAATTACGATAGTAATCTAATTTGATAAGAGCTTTACAATGAGAACGACGTGAAGAGAATTTTAAATTGTCATTATAAGAGTTAGACAATTTGAAAATATAGTGATGAGTTTTTTTTTCAGTTTTATTAATTCCTTAGAAAACCAACAAAAAAACTTTGATTTATAGTGAGTTTTTTAAGAATAAAAGTGTTTATAATAAGGCATTATTGGGTGTAAAATTCATCAACGAGAATGGAGATATCTTTATTATTATTAAAAAAAATGGACTAATTTTTTGAGCCAAAATATGATAAAATGGCATTGTAATTTACATTATGCCAGTCATAGGTTATTTGATGGGATTATTATTGAGATGCCTTTGATATACTTGATAACAAGGTCCGGTTCTCCATTTTATTGTAAGTTGAGAAGTTTTTGGCGGATTTTTGACATATAATCTTGTTGTTGTTTAGTCCGGTCTAATGAAAATCTAATGTATTTCCACAAAGGATTAGATTGTAAGTTGTTTTGGCTTGCAAATATAAGAAACACATTTTTTTTGACCGGTGAAACATAATTTGAATAGTCTAATTTTGGTAGTATTTTAAATGGATGATAGTTTACTAAGTCGAAAAGTTGAAGAGGTTCAGATTCCAAATTTAGATACTTAATATAAGTTTGAACAGTGGTTTGATCTAATTTCGGTGAGCTTGAACCAATAGTAGATTCTGGTAGATTGAAAAGTAGGATATTTTTTAGGCGAGATTGTTTCAGCATCATCTTTGATATTAACTCATTATTGTTGAGTTTGGGTTCATTCATATTTAAAGAATTAGTTTTCGACTCAATAATATCAACTCTTTCTTTTAAAGGTGTGATATCGAAAGATAAGCTATCAATTTGGTTTGATAGTTTGTCGACCTTTTTAGAAGCTATGCAAATTTATCCGATAGAGAATTAGGTGATAAAACAATTGTAGACTTGGTAATTTTTAATTCGTTAACAGTTTTAGTTAATGAATCAATTTTCTCTTCTATTTTTCACGTGAATGATAAAAAAGTAATTCAATTTTAAAGCTATTAACTGGTTAATGAGATATCTAATTAACAATTATTACTATATTTGTTGCATGTGAAATGTGGAGTGAATTATAGTCCAAATTATATTTCACTGATAATTTGCGTGACCGATAATAAAATAAAGTATTGAAACAATTTTCGAAGGAAAAAAGAACAAAAATTAAAAATATTACCGGTCCTCTTTATAATCTCTAATTTTTGAAACACGCATGTTGAAGTAAGAAGAAATAGATACAAATTTCAGTACTAATTACATAAAAATCCGTTTTTTTATACACATTTAAATAATAAAAAGAAACGAGACCGAAAATATTGCTATACTGCGATATGAATATTCTCTCGAAATATTTATAAGTACCTAAATATTTATTTGTGTCTTTATTTGTGAACTAAGTAAAATATTTATTTGTCTTCACATTTGTTAGTAGTCATTGTACTACGCGTTCGTCCGTTTACAACGACAATGTTTTTGATTTAAAACGTTGAACCTCCATAACTAAGGAGAAAATGAAGAATCGACCGCACCGGAAAATTTCAAGTGAATAGGTCGATACGTGGTGGCTCTCGGCAGTGGGGTGGAGCTGCTTTCTTAGTGAGAATAGGGTGGTAAAATAAACGAAAAACCCTAAAATTACGCGTTAGAGTTCACTTATTCAATTGCATTCTAACATATACTTTAACATTGAACTAATCAATGAAATATTATGAAAATTAAACACATATTTTACACACCGTAAACTGAACAAATACACACGAAACGATGTGGATACATTTAAAAAAAAATACAATCATAATTTGAGGATGGTCCTCGTGTTTTCTCTCCCTTGGCTACTGCGCCAGTGTTCGGGGAATATCGGGACCTTGGTTTATAAGTACCGAATATAATATTATTTACTTATTATTCTGCGCAAACAGTTTTATTATTGTTTTTTGTATTGTTTAACTTTCTATTTAGGCGGACTTGGAAATGAGGGGCCTTCGAGTGAAAAAAATGATTACGTCCGAAAAATCGTAATGCTATTGTTGACCGATATTAATTTATTGTAAACCGTAGGAAAAAAAACGTTTTAGTTTTCCGACGACCGACAGTCCTAAGAGAAAAAAAAACTATTATATCTTACAGAGTGATCAATCTTCAATAAGACACTCATTATTTCGGAAGAAACTATTAACTTTTTTTGGACGATTTATGAAAATGGGAAATTTAGCTTAAACTAAACCTTCTCGTCTATTTACGAAATTTTAAACATCAAAAGTCGGTAGTCATTTTATACTCAAAAATAAGGGTGTAGATTAAAAAAATACGAAAATATAGCATTATAGATATGATTGAACGGCTCAAAAAAAAAAATTCTGATAAAAGTTAATACCTAACGAGATAACGAGTGTCTTGCCGAGTATTGATCATTCGGTATAAATTGAACACATTTTTAGTAAACTTTCGGATTTTTAACTCGACTAGAAATACTGCCATAATTATTACGGTTATTCGGATTCGAATAATTTATGATTACTGTTTTTAAAACCCGACAACGGCATAAATAATCCGCAAACGTAAGTTTTCCAACGATTGAACGGTTTTCATCGGACATTTATACGTTTTATCGAAAACTAAATTACATCGTTCGGTTTCGGTCCGTCGTATAGGACTGTAGTTATAGTAAAATTATTTCGCATCCTCTTAAGCCTGCCCCGGGCGCGCGGCGATGTAATTTATTTCGATGACGTACATAGTATTATATTACAGTAGTTTGTGATATTTTATTATTTTTTTTTTTTTTTTTTAAATTATTATCATCTCCGTCGGTATAATAATAATATTATTATTATTATTATATTTCGGTGCATTGTATTTGCCGTAAAATTGATGATTTATGGAACCCCGGGATAAGTTGCAGGATTACACCTATAAAGATGATAATAGACATTATAGCTGTGTATAGCTGTGTATCATAGCTTATATATATATGTATTATTTTAGAACACGCTGAGTAGACATAAATTTCCAATTACGTAAAAACTTATCGTTATATTATATTATAATATTGTATATATTAATAATAATTCTGCGGCACATTTGCATAAGTGTAAAATATCGAAGTCATAAAACTAAATACAACGATTCCGAGTAGGAATAACGTAAATGAAATTGATGCGTTTTTTCCACCCCTCTGTCTTTTTGTCGAATTTCACTCGAAAATTCAAACTATCGCTTTGTACTGGGTGTCAGAGGCGCACACGGAAGAATGGGAGGGGGCGTAAGGGGTCATAAACCCCTCCGAAACGTCTTCCTTGAATACGTTTTTTTTTAAAAATAAAATCGAACTTCATCAAAAATAATTTATTTAGTAATAACAGTGATTGTACTTTACTGATCGTATTATGTGCCATCCTCTCTAGGATTTTAAACAAAACTCTTGCGTGCGTTACTGGTCTATATTATATAGACTTTCAACTACTTTTTGGACATCTCCAACGGCTTGCCATACACCTATTAGACCTATAATAATAGATTAAAACTCGGGAATTAGCGTGGTTTTGTAGGCGGATAAAAGCTACGTTAGACTTAAACACACCGTTTTTGCGAGTATAAAGTGTATTTTTTAGTTTTTGTATATCATTAAAAGCTCCATGAACAAATCCCAGGGAGATGAGATCGCGATAATAGTCAGTTGGCTTCACTGTTAAGGACGAAGTGCCAACGGAGTTCAATCTCTTAACTCTTATAGTTCCCAAAACATTTTTATGATTAAATTTTATCCATTTTTTTTCTTTCTTACAAAATATGCGAAGAAAAATTCGACTCTAGCGACGGAACACCGCAGCAGCTCGCCGGTGTTTTTCATTTCGGTGCAAACATTTTTCCGATCATTAAAAATATGCGATAATCTAAATACCGTTTAAGAATAATATAGCTAGAGGTACCTTAATCTACCTACACGATTAATCAAAAATTATTTATATTAAAACAGGCACCTAAGGAATTCGACGAACCGCTGAAATATTTTAATAAGTATAATACCGTGTGGGTATTGAATATCCCCAATCGATTATAATAATATTAATACGCATTAAACGATTTAAGATTCTCGATTGTTTGATATTATCGCATGTGCTGGCAAAGTAAAATTATCATTAAAATTACTCGGTACGTAATACGTGTTATTATTAATAACATTGATTATAATAAACGATATTTTATAATAATAATTAATCTGACGCCGACAACGACACGTCATTGTCGTGCAGCAGCATATAAGACAACGACGAGATATAATCAACCCACGTATTTCTTGATATACATTGTTAATCAATTCGTAACGGATAATTTATTAAAAAATCGGGGTTTTCGTTGTTTTAAATTTTCAGTGAGATACGAGTGCGCGATACAATATCAAAATTACAAAAAAAAAAAAAAAAAGACGGACTTACTTCGCACGTTGGGAAGGTAGTAGAGGGGAAATTGAATGTATATCTGTAAGCAACGATAAAACATCGATAACGAAAAAACGGTTATGCATCGGAGTTCAGCTGATAACGTTGCTTTTTCAACAATATATATGTATATATATGTTATACGATGATAAAATAATTACGTAGGCATTATATATTTTCTTTAATGATATTTGTTTAATATTGTGCCAATGTTCCCATTTCCCCTACGTTTTTCCCGTTTGTTGAAAAAATTCCTAAAAATCAAAAAATTACCTCTTTAGAGTACCTCCCCAGTCCGACTTCCTTACGGAAAAGGTGCCACACTTAAAAGTCGGAACAAGATTTCTGGTAAAATATGTCTACAGAAAAATATAAAAAATAAAAATAAACATTGTTATAAAACCATAAGCTTCTTCACTCCACTCAGAATCGGAAACCACCAACGAACAATTGGTTTTTAATATGTAGTAACCTCATTGTTTTTTTGTTAGTTATTAATTTTTATTTTTGTACATAAATGTTTTAATTATTTATAATATGTACTGATTTGAAACGTCAACTCTTAAGATATTGAACTATCGGTGTCGAGTATAAAACAATATTTATGACATATTGTTTATATAAAATAACGGAACGGTTTCATATTAAGAGAAACAAATTTACAATATACGTACAATAGATCCGTATTATTTCGTTGTGACCGGCGATACTGGTAAAATGTCATAAATAATACATAATAAAATAGGTTTTCGGAATAAAAAATAATATATTCTCCAATATTTCGGGTTTTACCTTTTTTTTTTAAAGTCTTCAAAAACCTAAAAACTAAACATATATTTAGTTTTTATCTTGATATCGGATCTAGACGAATTTAGACGAATCTAGACAATTTTTACTCACTGCGCATCAGTTCTCTCCACGAGACGCCACCGACAAACGAAAGCGTGCGGCCTCGATAACACAGAAATGGAACGGTCACCCCTGCATATCTCATAAACAGAGCGTTCTGTGACGGAGTGCAACACTTGATATCTATCGAAATGGTTGCCCGGGAAATCATAACGATAAACGATAATATTTTGATGTCGTCAATAACGATTTAATAAGTTAGCGTCTTCTGGTACGGGCGTATAGTATGGTTTTACGGAAAAATGTCACCGGTCATTCCGTCGAATCTGGATTTTAACCGACATTATCGAATCCAGACTCTGTGTCTTTTAAGAATATTAAAGCGTTTGTCACGTTTCGGCTTAATGTTCACGCTGCTCAACGGACATTGATTTCTTCGTTAGTATACGATATGTAGCGCATTTTAAGATAACTCCATCGAGTCAGTTGTCCTTTGGAATTATAAAGAATCACAGAAACAAGTTCTGACTGACAAATTACAAATTAATATTCTTTTATCAGCCCAATTATTTATTATGAGCTTTATAATACGAGCCGCGTCTAAAAAAAATTTTAAATTATATTACATTATATTGGACGGTTTTTATGTGAGTTTATAATACATTGTTTAATAATTAAATCTGCACTTAAAGATATAAACATCAACGTATTTACTCTACAAAAATTTAAAACGAACAACGACTTAAATTTAGATATTTGATTTTCCTTAAATTTCTAGATTTACACTGTGCAAAAAACTCGAGTCTACGAGACCGGAACGAAGACTATCGAAACGGACGTTCTAGACGAGCGCGATAAGGACGTTCCGTAACCGAGTCGGTAACAAAAGCCATAACAAGGGCTCGGATTTGAAGGCAAAATAATTTTTTTTTTTTTTTATATTAAAACGCGTTTCGTTTAATATCTAAGATAATAGATGAATATTTTTAGATGTTTTTCGCTTGCCTTCATACTTATTTTTTACCCATTGATTTACTTTTTGCTTTTTTATCTGACATTTTTATATACGTATTAACAGTAAAATTTATTTTTGATGGGTTAAATTATCGGTGATATTTATCGATATCGCTAAACACTTTATCGTGTATTTGATACGGCTAGTTGATTTAACGTTTACAAAAGTACCCGATTACGTTCCTAATCGTTCCTAGAATCAAGGTTGTCCGTCACGGTTCGCGTTAGCCGATTGTCGTTAATTTTTTTTTTTTTTTTTTTAATTGCTTTTCGTATAAATTGAATACATTTTCTCAGGTTTTTCGCACGTTTTCGGCGATTTTTTTTCAATTGTTTATATCGCCTCCGAATCCGAGCCCCGGCGTCCCCCGTCCGTTCGATCTTTATCCGGCCGGTTAGGTCGGGTTAGGTTTTCCGGACGTTTCAGAGAGCGGACGCGGCGCAACAACGTTATTACCGTAACAGGGCGCGGGCGTATGCCGACGTCAGTGACACGCGTACGCACGTACCGTTTTTGAATTCGGTTTTCTCCGAGTTCGGATGACAAAACCGGCCCGCCGCCGGACCCGCGCGCGCCGAAAATATTGTGCAAATGACCGATGCGGTTGGCGGCGGCGCGGTGGCGGCGGCGACGGTGTCGCGTGTGGAGCGGTCCGCGAGACGCATTTATCAAATACCATCGACGGTCGGCCCGGGCCACTCCATCGCGAAACGACAAGGACTTCTGGCCGCACACTCCGACCGTCGACGAGCGCACGGCCCCGGGGCGCTCGGGAAACACACGGGAAAAACGGGCGGCACGTTATTGTTGCGGTTACACACTCGCCCGCGGTACCGCGGGATAATATCGCGGACGCACACTCGCGGATCGCCGGAAAACTTTCGTCCGCGTCGCGTTACCGTGTCCGGGGTCCGTCCGTGTTTCTGATTCGGGAAAACGAAACGGCTGCGGCGGCGCGCGCGTTGGCGACAGACGTTCCGCGTCGCCGACCGCGCGCGCCCGCGTTTTATCGGCGCAACGAGACGCAACGACAATACGGTCGCGCGGCGGCGGCGGCGCGCGCCGATCGATAGCGCGGACGATAACGACGAATAAAGTTATAATAATAATAACAATAATAACAATAACGATAATGACAGTAACGGTAGCGATAATAACGACGATGATATTTCGAACGTTGAGATCCCGGGCGGAAACGGCGCCGGCGTTATTACGCCGCGAAGTTTCCCGAACCCCGTCAAAAATGATTTATAATAATTATGTAATTTTTTTTCCGTTTGTTTACATAAATGCTCCGTGATAATACTGTTATTGTTATGACGCGGCGCGGGGCCGTTTATTAGAACGCGTACACTTACGGGCGGACGGTAGGGTCGGGTTTCGTGATAATATTTTATTTCCGCGAGGCCTGCCGCCCCTCCCGGAACAAGCGGATCGCGTACAACGGGTTTTCGATAACAGGTATATTATGCGGAGTGCGCGGTCGCGCGTCCGTAATGAAACGCGCGAGGGACGGTCGACGTGCTGTTTTACGCCTTATATAAGTGGTTGAATTTTTTCTCGAAATCGTATTTGTTATATGAACCAACGCCGGTCGGCTTGAAAAAAAATCGTTCCGATAAAATGGAAGCATTTTTTCGCGAAATTTGACCGGCCGGCAACGTAAACGGACACCTGAAACCTCGAACGCGTGATCGCTCTAACGGACGAGGCGCGTCGACCCGTCGGCCTTGGAACAATCCCCGAGTAAAATTGACGCAGAAGTCTGATGCGACTTTCAGGTATAACGGTTCGAGCCCGAGTATTGCGCCATCCGGATCCGTTATTATGCGCCGGACGGACGATATTTTTACGGACCGGGTCAAAAAAACCGTCCACGGCTTTATCGAGTTGCCGCGCGTCGCTTTTGGTAGAATGGGTCCGAGCGACAGTCCCGTAGTCAAATGTTGATCAGACCGATAAGACATTAGGCGATTGCAACGCAGAATGGGGCAGACGCGAGTGTCAAAGTTCGAGGTGTGTCGCACATAATGAAGCCGATAACACTCAACTCCTTGCGCGACGACGGAATCAACATGCGGTCTAAAACCGAGCGCAGAATCGTAGAGAAGGCCTGCGCACGAACGACACGTCCAACGTAACGCCCGTTCGGATAGCAATCGTATTATCGCATTAATAAAACGCGAGTACTGTTAAAAGCAGATATAAAGGACGCGGTAAAATATCGGTCGGCTATTCCTAGCCGGCCTTTCGGAACGGACCGTCGGACCGAAACGCGCAGTAAAGATATCTGCTCCGGATTGTATTTCACGCCTTTGATCCGACACCCCGATCACCCAGAGCGGTTACGGCAACACCGGGTGTGCGGTGATTGATAATATTCAGAAACGACGTTAGAATTGCACACGCGACGATATTATTAGGACCCGATTGTTGTCGGGACTCGACTACGGTTCTGACTAGACTAATTTATTACCTACAGGTACGCTCGTATTCCGCGCTACTGCAGTATTGCGCCCGGCCATGCGAAACGCGAAACGACGTACGATAGAGGTGCTGTGACGAATTAGCGAAACGGTACCGATACAATTATTTATCTACGGGTTTTCGTGTAAAAGTTTTTTTTTTAAAAACGATTCTTAACTAAGTCCGGTCGAAATGCTGACGTTATTACGGCTTTCATCGAAATTCAAAATTAAAAAGCATTAAATAAAAACAGAAACGTCCACGCTTCGCTCAATTTTTCTTTTTTCTTTTTTTTTTCACACTATATAAATTACAATTTATGATCTATCTATGATGTTAAAACATCGAGCGTTTTTGCTGACCGAAAAAACTCTATTCACACGCAATCGAATAAATATTAAATAAACAACAAAAAAATCTAATGTGCCTAAAGCCCTAAAAATCGCAAGTTTTACCACGTCTAGAAAAGCTTAATATAGGTATTAACAGATACCTTTTCGACCGTCTATTTTAAACGTTTTCATAAATTTTTCTCCGGATTTTCTCAATTGTTTAGATAAGCGCAAAAAAAAATGAGCTAATATTAGAGACGGGTGCGGCCACGGTTGTAGGTGAGAAGTTAGGAAGGTAGGAAACACAAGGTCGATTCATTTATATATGTAAGCAACGATAGACCGTTGTTGACGAACGACATTTCCGAGCGCAGTTCGGCAATACATAATTTGAAGTGCCATTATTTTTTTAACCTAACCTTCCTACGTTTTCCCCAATTATTATGAACACTGATTCAATCGAAAAACGAACTGCATTTTTAAAAACAAGTTTAATAATTCAACAAAAAAGGTCTCTTGTCATTTTTCAATTGAAGCCATTTGTGCTAGAATACGTGGTTGGTATTTATTTAAAATAACGAAATCGTATTTTTTTTTGCTTAATCGTTTTCATTTTAAGTGCCAATTCAAAAATCAAAAAAAGATTTATGTTTTTACCGAGTAGATAAAATTGACTTTCTGAAAAGATGCTACATTTTTACATCGGGAGAAGTTTTTAAGGAAAAAAGTGATTCAAAGTATATAAAGAAAAGTAAAGTACTATTGTAAAAATATGTTTAAATAAGGAAACAAGTCGTCCGATGTTTTGGAAATTTTACCACGTCTAGGTAAGTTCAATTTAAGTAATATTACCAAGGTTCAAGTCTCTACGTGTATTTATAACCGAATTACAGCAAAAAAACTCCCAAAAATTAAAATTCCTTTAAAGCTCAAAATTGTCTCGACTAATTCGGCAAGGATACTGTAAGAAAGTAAATCAAGAAGGTAACAAAAAAGTTGTTATGTGATTTTTCGATTAAATCATTTTTTTTTTTTGATAGAAAATGTCTGTGTTTTTATAAAATAATAAAATCTTGAAATTGTACGTTTTTTTCTCACATAAGGGATTTTATTTAAAGAATGGAGTCGAAAATCAAAAAAACGACCACTTGAAAGTACCATGTAAGCAACTTGTGCTTTCACAAAAGGTGCTTTTCGTAAAAATCGGAGCAAGCTTACAAGAAAAAAACGTGTCCACAGGCTAGAATAAAGACCAAAGAAGAAGAAATGTTTGGCATTGTAAAACCAATAGCTCACTGTCTACGCTCGGAATCTAAAAAAACCAGATCAAAATTGATTTTAAATTTGAAAATCGGGGCATTATTACCGGAAAAAAACTCGTTAGTGGATCGAAAAAAGTAATATATTACGTTCCTCGCTGCGCTCACAAACTAAAATTACGTTTTCGTCTTGTTATTATTTTTATAACAAAATTACAAATATCGCGGTGCATAAAATCGAATTCAATCATAATAATGATCACCGCGTTGAGTAAGTGATGTGGTTTTCCGGACAATTTTAACGTAATTTTATCTTCCCCGGGGTATTGTGAAACTAGTATTGTATTTAAGCAATGTATATTATCGAACAATCACATTTTCCGAGCAGTAAAAGCCTACGAATTAATTTCGTGTGAGCTCTTTGGAAAATTAATAAAATAATAATAGTAATAATTTCAATTACAGTTATTTGACGTATAAAATACTTTGGATAGTCATTTACAATTATTTTTTGCGAACTTCGGTATGCACGAAATTACGAAAACTACAACATAATGTTTGCGAGAATAAACCGTTTAAATTTGAATTCTTACGTCTACTCAGAATTAATCTATGGAATATGATATTGAATCGTTACGTTCAATCTTAAAACTCATAATACAATTTTGTACTTTTCAGTGTGAAATCGTAAAACAGTAGCAACTAATACTTGTTGTAATACTTTAAATTGCGTTCAATTTATAACACGTAATTGGACGAATAGTTTTATAACGACTTCGAGAAACATTGTTGGGTTTTTTTATTCTTCGAATCACACACATATTTGTAATTTTATTTTTTAAGACCGCGCCGCTATAACCCTTGTTATCTGTCCTTGTCCTCTTTTGGCCCACCAGAATTAATGCATTAACACTTTTCTTCACGTCGTATTCCCACTTTAACTTTTGCCTCCCCAAAGGCTTTCTTCCCGAAGGGTCTTCTTCAATCACCTTCCCAACTAAAGATCTTCGCTTACGTCAAACATGGCCATCCCATATTGGTTATCTCTTATCATTTAACTGTATCTAGCTCCAAGAATTACATTCGGAGTTCATTATAACGCAATTTTCTTCGTTCATTTTCCATTGGTTTGGCCATCAAAGACTGGGTCGTATTCAATATATTATACACAATATATACTGTCACACACACATACACATACCATTGAATTTTTTTTTTTACACGATACAATGCGGTTAAATATATTAGGAGTATGCTGCCGTTCTAATAAAAGATGAGATTATACTAGAGAAACGTGTAAAACTATAATATTGAACGTAATACAGTATAATTACATTTTTTTTTTTTCGATTTACGACTTATTTTTTCAAGACAACAAATATGCATAGTGTATACGTAAGTGTTAACGATTTATAATCAGATCACTTTTATTTCTAAAAGTATATCAATTTTAATTTGCAAGCACCTTGATACCATACGTGATAACATTTGAAAAACCTGACATACTTTCTCCACGCCCTAGGATGCCCACTGTTGTAGATAGGAGGCGGAGAAGAAAAAGTATACAGGGTATCATGCATGTGCCAAACTCAACGATCAATGATTGCAATAAAAACATATAATAATTTTGAGCAAAGCGGTAATGGTGGTGCTCTTAACCAACAAAAATAAACCAACATATATTATCATTTTTTAAAAAAATAACCCAGAGTACTTATATAGAAAATGTATTTTACAAATAAACAGTACCATCGAGTGGACAAATAGCACTGGGAAAGTTATAAAGATTTAGAAAAAACGGCATTAGGAAAACAACTCTCTGTACGCATGATATCCTGTAGAAAGAAAAACAATTTTCTTTTTATCCGTAGGGTTGATTACGACCATACGCAACAGTGGCGTACACTTAGGATCTATCCGAGGAGGGACAGACATTTTGAGTTTGGAAACGGTGTCCAAAATCATAACGTCACATATAACGTGTATTTATCAAGAAAAAAAAACATCATACGTTTATAATTTATGTATTTTCTTTTCGTAAATGTTTTATAGTTCAATCTTCCCTGAAGTTATCATTGAAATCGAAAAATCACTGTAAACATTGTTAGTTTATTTACTACTATTCAGGTGAGTACTAATCGCACTATCCTTTTTCGTATAAAAGTGGTTCGGACAGGTTCCGTTCAAAACAAGAAAATTGTATATCGTTTGTGTATCGTTTTCCGATACCTGCGTACCAACTAGTGCTCCTTATTTCACGGGTACGCGCTTTCGCGTATTTACCGTGAAATTAAAGTTTGATTTATAAGACCCGTTAATTAAAAGTTTTCGTAAATTTATAATATTATTCACGTAATTACGCCTCGCTTACTTGGTTCTCTGTTTTTATTTTTATTCGTGGCATGAACACGATTCTACTCATATCATAAATATATATTTATATATATCAGATTAGAATAGTGAATGATATACATTTGTGTACAAATTAAAATTACTCGCGTGAATCACGTTATGACTCCGATTGACGCGTTCATGTGTTTTAACATTTATCAATTCACGTATAATACGCGTATTATTTTTGCTAAACTCCCGTGTTCGCGATATCCGTGTACGCGTGCCTGTATGTATTCACTTAAAAAAGTAAGACCCCTTAGCGCCGAAACATATTCGGTTTATCCGATTAAAAAGCCCAGAGATGTTTTAGTTTGAAATATCAGGATTCGTGAGAATATTAGATGAAAAAAATAAAAGGTCAACGGGGATAGAGGGCATATGTCTCGGTAAAACCCCTCCCCTCAAGTACGTCGTCCACTGATGATACGCAACAGTGTATAGTTTTCGACCGAAAGTCGACGGCGAATACCTATAATATCCAGAGTGTTTCCGAAAATAATGCAAACATAAAAAATTACTGTTGTGCTCGAGAGGAGAAAATTGTGTATTAATTACTTTGCTCCGATGGTACGCGTTACAAACACGTAAATTGCGCAAATAAAACAATAATAATGTAGTCCCGTTTATTATTTTATCAAAATCCATTGAATTTGTTGTTGTGTTTTAATTAAAGGAGTTGCGTATTTTCGTTTTCTGTTGTTTTTTTAGTTGAAGAGGTGCTATTCCGTTTTATTAGTTCTTTATTATTAATTCTGATGCGGTTTACGTTTAATTTAATTTAAATATCGCGCGGGTAGTTTTGCTATTTTCCAATTTCAAAACAATCAATTCGCAATAATGTCGTTAGTATAGCGCTACAACGAATTAAATTAACCTTTTTTTTTTGTTTGTTTACTCGTATGATTTAATTGAAAACGTTTCCGCAAAATTTCAGTTTCGTTTCCTCAAATTAAATTAAACGCGGAGGGCGGGGGAGGAACAATTCCCCCCCCGCCCACCGTCCGCGCGACCGAGTATTATTTATTTTAGATTACGTTTTTGAACAACAATACGCGTTGACCTAATTATATTATATTTTATGACAATAAAAAAAAAAAAAAAAAAACCACTTCCGTTTGTTTTACGTATTAATTATGTTTTACAACACAGTGTCGTACGGGGTGTATAGTGTCCGAAAAGCGTACCGCCAGAGTGACTGTTACGGGTGCCGTACTCGATGACGGGACGACCCGGTAACGAAGTTTTCGATTTTATTTTTCAATCTTCGAATGTCTACGTGGATATTAAAATAAATATTCAACGATATTTTCCGCAAAGTGTCCGTACGAATCGATATTTTGATGACGTTGAGCACTGAAATGGCACGGGAATGCGCAAAAAATGATGTGAAATATCACCGTTTCGTGCGATGAGGACAGAAACAACGTCGGATATTTATTTTAAATTTACGTAATTATAATTCTAAAATTCTTGAATGATTGTGAAAATCCCCGGTTTTCGGAGAACAAGTGGAAAAAAAAAATGTTTTTGTTCGATTACCCCGCCGGTTATGACGATGATGCAAAGGGTGGTACCTTTTTCAGAAATACTCTGTATGTAAAACACATTTTGACAATACCAATTACAAATTTAAAAAAATCAAAAAAAAAATCAGTTTTACCATAAAAATATTATAACCTACGAGTTTTTTTTTTTAAATAATATTTATTACGGTATTCAGGGAACGCGGGTTTTGTTGAATGTACGAAATACGAGAAAGAAACGAATTTATTGAGCTTATCTTTTTTTAACGTAGAATAGGTAGTTAAAAAAAAAAAAGAATAGTTCAGAACACGTGTGCACTGTAAAAAATTATATTATAAAGACGAAATTGGGTTCTGACGAAATCGATTACCTACTTGTTATTGAAATTATAATAATAATAAAAAAAAAAAAAAAAAAAAAAAATCAGTATTCCGAGTAATTTAATACACCTAGTATTACACAAATCTGAATCTAACGAAACGAATATTTTTTTCTAAAAGAGAATATTCCGGTTTTTTTTTTTTTTTTTTTTTTACTCGTACAATGCACGCGTACAACGCCGTACGGGTTGTGTGCTCGAACTTATATTTAGTTTGTAAAGCACCTATCTGCCTACCGCGCGCTCTTAACAAGGGTCGGTCCCGGACCGAAAGGGCCCCTGCTATTTATTACGAGTCGAACCGTTCAAAGGACCACCCAAGACCGAGACCCTTCACGTTAATTATCGCGTGTTGTTTCATCGCATGTATATATTATCGCGATACGATAATAATCGTGTATAATATTTTTTTTATTTATTTTTTTTCATTATTATTTTTTTTTTTAATTTTTTTTTTTTTTTTCTATACCTATACCGTCGTCGCTGACCGTAAAACAAGTTTAAACAACACGGGTAATAATAACGCGAAATAAATTAACACAATTATTCCGCCGCGTAATCGTTCGTGCGTACTTCCTATACGGCGTACTGTTTCCGTATTCCGCGCCCGTGCCGGCACGTCGTTAATCTCGGTGCATCTGAATTCCCAATCGCAATTGAAGCAATTACGCCCGATCGACTGTGACGGACTCGCCGGCCACGCGCGGAGCCGACGCGAAGTGATCCGCAGCTCTGCGTCGACGCGACTCCCCGGTCGCTCCCCTCGGCGGCCGCCTTTTAAAATTTCGCCCGCGTCAATCCGGACGGATTATCGTTTTCGACCGTTCGGTTCGTCGCCGGTGTCGTACTCGCGCCGTTCGGCGCCTGCGACCGCGCGTTTTTCATGCGAATCGTCCGGCCGCCGAACGCCGGAAATCCTCAGCGTTAAGGCGCCACACCGCCCGCGTCACGGCGACATTTTCGCCGTCGCCGTGAGTGTGCCGCGAGCGGACTATTCTCGGCGGGTCACACGGTGACGGCGTTTCGACGAGCGTCGGACGCCTACTAAACCGTTGTTACTGTTCGCCCGTATCAGTACGCGATATCGGAGCCGAACGGCGCATTTATCGGTCGGATCCCCCCCTCCCGGGGGGGTGGGGGGTGTGGTTGGGAGGGAGCGGAGGGGACCGTCGTCGGCCGCGTGCGGAATAATATTTGAATTGCGCGCGGCCGCCGGACCTCGCCACACACTTTTCCCGCCGACGGCCCGGCCGGGCGCGGATATGACGATAACGGTCGCGCCGTCTCGTGCGTGTGAACGGAACGTCGTAAAACGGTATCCGGGAGTGCCGTCGGAACCGTACACGGCGGCGGTGCCTATCGACGGGTCTCGAGCGCGGTCGGCTGGTGTCCGCCTCACGCAGTCCGCTTGGCAATCGAAGAACGCCGGAGCCGCCGTTTCGCAGATCGGCGATCCGCCGGAGAATTTTGTTTCGCGTGACCCGCCGGACACGCGATGAGTCTGAACAAAACGAACGACACGGACACCGCAGAGTGACGTTTTAAACGTGCGTCGAACCGCCCGTATCACACCGCCGTTACGCAGAATCGGCCGATTGGCGAATTTGATTTTGACGTTCGGTAAAAAAAAAAAAAGTGATACTCGGTCATTTGATTACGGCGAGCGTGTCGAAAACCCGTGTTCCGAGGGGTTTTGAAAAAAAAGTATTTTAACGGCGCCGAACCGACAGTCAAATGCGTATGTATGCCATGTGATATTCAAAAATCGATTTTCGTATAAAAAATATATTGTACGGTGAATTCGCTATTTATAGTAACGCCGTTGGCATATCATTCTCGTTTGTCGATAGTTTAAAAATTACGTTTGTATTTTTTGACTTTGCTTTTAAGCTACTGCTGATGTGTTTGAAAAGCCTAGAGGCTATTACGAACAGTTTGTTAACGACATTAAATCCAAACGTGTATAACTGACGTTTTCGGATTTTGCATTGCATTATAATATACATCTTGCGTAATTTCGTGTAAAATATTTATTATTTTTTTTTTTTTTTTTCTATAGAACGAATTACTTATGTTTACAAAAATATTTGAAAATTCCGTAAAATAAAACTCGTTTTCAGTTCAAAAGAAATCCGTTTAAAAAAAAAAAAAAAAAAAAACGAAAACAAATCAGAATAACGTTTCAGTTTTACATTTGATGTTTTGCAGCAATATATAATTCACGAATATCATTTTGTATAGGACTAGTGTAAAAAATCATTCTGCTCGGAATATTATTTAAATACGATGAAATTTAATATACCGTGTCATTATGGTGCAAACAAAGATACGAATTCGGCATAATAACACCGCGGCTGGGGCAGCGTGGAAATTATTTACATTTAATGTAAATAACAATATTGTGATGTTCAAGAAAAACGTTTAATAGAATATGCGAGTATAATTTTTGTTTCTGACGTAAAATGATATTAAAAAAAAATATCGATATAGCAAGAATTTCGTCGGCATCCTATGTCACTACGGATCGTATTACAACGCTAAATTTTCGAAAATAAAAAACGAAAATTGTTTTAGTTATTGCAATAGTCAGTTATTTTTACTTCAATTGGTAACAGAGTGGAACCATGGCGCTCGTAAACGGGTGTAAGTCCATTACAGCAATTGGAACGTCGAAGCGCCTGGTCTGCAAACAAGCAAACGAACATGAAACAAGCGGAGAGGAGCGCCAGAGGAGAAAATTCGGCCTGCGGTGCCACGCGTACGGAGACCCCGAAAACCGTACACCGGATTACGGATCTCGACGTGCATTTTTTTTTTTTTTCACGTTTTACTATTTTAGTTGCGTTGATCTGTTGCGCGTGTTGCGACGCACGGAATAAATGCGCGGGGGGGGGGAATTCGAATATCCGCTTTATTATTAATTATTGTTACGCGGCGAAACCGCTAGACGACAGCACCGACCTTCCCACCCCCAAACGCCACCCGCCCGCTCGACACGCCGCCGCGCGGACCGGTACGGTCTGACGCGCTCTCGAGCCCGGGAGAAACGCGACGCGATCCATCACTACTGACCGATGTCGTATCACGTGACTCAATTAAGAGTCTAAACCGTATACTTCAGTCTCGCGCCTAGCCCACCGCGATGGCGTCGGCGACCGGCGTCTCGCCGCACCCGTCCCCTCGCGTAATATTTCGTATATATTTCCGTATATAGGGTATCTCGGCGTACGCGCGCACGCACGCACACATCCACGCGCACACACACACACACGCACGCACGCGCACACACACACACACACACACGCACGCACGCACGCACGCACACACGTATAAATATACTCATTACGACCGGAACCCGACACAGACACATTCATCATGTCTCCTCCTCCCGCAGTGATCCGTTACGGACGCGGGGCAGCTAAGACGGCCCGGAATTATTAGTTTTTTTGTTTTTTTTTTTTTTTTTTTTTTTTTTTTCATTTTTGGCACCGTGTAAAACGTCTTTTAAACAACACCGCACGTTCGTCTATTATCCCGGCGACGGACGTTTTGCGACCGCGGCGGCCGTGGCTACCGCGGACGACCGAATTCGTTGCGCGTACGATTGAAAACGAGACCGTCAGGTAATATCAACGGAACTCTACAACGTAATACGTAATACTCGGTACGGTAACGGTTTCAACGCCACGAGCCACTAGCCGCGAATAGTATTACGGTCGCGACCAGTAAAGTACCGATTTCATATTTAAAAAACGATAACTCGTTCTATTTTTCGTATACATTTTTTTTTTTTTTTTTTTTTTTTTTTTTTTCATAAAATTACTTTGTTTCGGTTCTCGTTTTCGATTTAATAATATTTTCAACAAAACGTCCATCCATTTGGATCATTTGAAACAAACGACGTAAAGTTGAAAAGTTGAAAGTTTAAAACTTGTTGACAGCCAAACAAACGCGCATATAAAACAATATTAAATTTATCGTTTCAATAAATAAAACCTCCTAACGAATTGTTCTTTCCGTCCAACGTTGTGTTTTATCCGGATATGTGTAAGAAATGAGTTACCTGAGATGTTATATGGCATAAATAGTTGAATTATATTATAAATGAGTTTAACTATATAAATCGTTTTAAACCGTTATTGATGCGAGGTTTTTTTTTTGTTTTTTTTTGAAAATTCCAGGTCGATTTTCTTAACAAATATAATATATTTATATATTTATTTAACCGAACACCAATCAAAATCGTTTTTTTTTTTCGTTTACAGCGATTAATTTTTGCGTAGAGATAAACATTAAATTTCCCCTCTACATTCTCAACTTTTCACCTACAACAGTGGCCCACCCATCGTGCGACCTATATCAATTTGTTTTTGTTTTAGTTTTTCTTGTTTCAAACCATACAAACGTAATTTTGATTTTTCATTTGTTTTCCCTTCGCATATTTTGTAAGCTATATCGGTAGTTTTAAAGTCCGCTGTATTATTCATAGTAGCCTGCATACACTCGCATTGAAGAATATTATTATTTCAGGTACAGTGCAGTTTTTGTCAGTTTTCGTCATTAAATAAGATTATTTTTTAATTCGAGTTAATATTTCATAACAATACATGATAAATGTAATAATATACACAGTCTATCAACAATTGGAATATTCTAACGTGATATGGTGAATAGGCGTTTACGAATTGTTCGTAAAAGTATCGGTATCTTGAGCATATAATTAATTAGTCTCTGTATATGAAAACTACAGTGCTCAGTAAATAAAATATAAACAATAGAAATAGTTTATTATTATTATTATTATTATTTTTTTTTTTTTTGCAAAAACAAAAAAAAAATATGTATTACATAATTCGATATCGCGTGTTCGAATGATATTAGTGTTATTACCCACACGATATAGTAACATTTTAGTATTCTTTTCCATCGTAATGCATATTTTAATATTGCTAATTTTTTTTTTTCAAGTACATACAATTTCGAATAATTAGGTACTGTTAATATTTATGTTTAAGCTTATCGGTCTCGATTTTAAATTTTAACTGGCCGTTACAAATTGTTTTTTTTTTTTTTTTTTTTAATAATTACACCATTATTATTAAACAAATTCAAGACGTTTACGTGTTCGTGTTTAAGTACCGAATTCCAATAAAATTTCCCTGCGGAAATATATAGTTGACAATGTAATTAATACAATTTACGGTTTATTAAGTAACTGATAATTGTTTTATGCTACCAAAAACAAAAGTAATAAAACAAAAAATAACGGTCAAAGAGGTTTGGTCGGGTACCTACTGCGCGGATAACTTTTATTGTTCCAAGTTCCCAATGATTTGGTGCACGCGTTTTAATATGAACACGTTTTTTTTTTTTATAACTTAAAACGCGGCCAAATGAATAAAATAAAAAAGGAGCTAATACGAGTAATAAACGAATATGAGTATAAATTATTATTTCGATATTTTAAAATGAAATCACCTTTTGCAAATCCTTTATAAAAAAAATAATTCAGTTTTTTTTTTTTTGGTTTATACGTACATCTATAACCTTCGATAATAATAAATATTACGGGTATGGGTTTTTATTTTTATTTTTTTTATCATTATGGTCATCGTTCGTAATCATACAATTTATGTGGGCCTACAATTATTCGTGAAACACGTGGAATAAGCGTGCACCGGTACTACAGTACAATAACACGCGGTACCTAAATAGGATTATTTCAGTTTTTGTTCACTGCATATGACTTTACCGTATAATCCTCGGTTTATCGTGAACATTTTACGGTCCAGAGCTTTTGGTAAACATAAATATAAGTTTTATCTAAAATATCCTTTTTAAATACGATAATATTATTATATACTTATTGTATGGCACATCTTGAACATAACAATAACATTACACAGTAAAAAGAAGAGTATACGGATAATTTTTAAAATATTTAGATGAAGTTGAAAGTTATCTAATTTCCAGAATAATTATCTAGATAAAAATAAATAACTTGAAATTTTCTGTCGAGATAAAAAAAAAAAAAAAATACATAATTTTGTTCACTAAACTAAGGGCTAAAAGTAGCAAAAGCGTGTATTACATTTGGTATGCGTCTAGATTTCGAAAATATTGTGAAATTCACCAAACCATATTTATATAAATTATAAATTTTAGCTTATATTTTTTAAAGTGACAAAAAAATTACCGACATTATTAAACTATGTGTCTTAAATAACTTACTGTTGATTTATATAGATAAAAATGATTAGAAAAAATATACGAATATACCTACTTAACCAAATAAAACTATACTGAAATCATAACACATGTAGAAGATAATATTTTGAAAATACGATCGATCGTTAAACGATTGGGTTACAATGACTGGAAAAAGAAACATAATCGATTTCACTCTGAATTTCGTACATACACTCGCTGAATCGGGATACTTTAAACGATAAATAATCAATTTATAACTTTTTTGTTGACGCGTTTACTAATATATGATTAACATAATTTAATGGAACCAGATGAACTGTGTGCATTTCTAGCGAATATTCATCACATAGAAATTGACAGCATTAACCGCGAGAAAACGAGGGAAAAAAATTCAAAATTGTTTAAAAGTCAAGTGCGAGCACCCGTATTGAAATTCAAATTTAAAAACTGTCAGTTATGCTGCGTTGTACAATAAGGAATCGAAAACACGGAAGTTCGGTCTAGACCATGGAAAAGTAATTTATTACGTAAGGTTCATAGAACCGATGTTTTACAAGCAGTGATTTATTTTCCCTAAAAATCTCCAAAAAGAAGTAAATACTATTACGATAAATTAGTTGCGAATCAGTATAACGGAAGCCTACGAGGTGGTTCCCAGGTCTATAGGTAAAAATACGAATGTCTGTTGTTCGGGTGGTATGCATGTAATTTTAATGTTCAGTGTTTTAAAAAAAAATCGATATCTAAATCAAACGGCTATAGACAAAATTATATCTGAATACTTATTAGATATTTATTTAAAACAGTTTTTGAAAATACTATGTTTTAATTGGTTTGCGATTTCGCTTAAATTTTTACGTTACGAAAATAAATTTAAATATTCCCGTGATAAATAAAAAGTCATTTAAGTCAGTGTTGGCGTGAATATAGTTCTACGAGTCTGAAAACTCGTATAGGTTTGTTAAATAGGCGAGTGGGTGGGTAGGTGAGCTAGGAGGCCGTTACAATGGAGTATAAGCACTTGAAGTAGATCATTTCGCTCAGGTTTAATTGATTTTTCGAACGGCGATAAGTTTTTTACTTATACATAAAAAGGGTATACGTTAAACATCAATAAAAGGGCGTGTGGATAGGTCAAATAATTTCACCAAATTCATTAATGATCAGAATTATGTTTTATCTAGGTCAATTATCTACATAAATATTGTATTACCTTTTATCTAGCCCAGATAAATAATTAAATAATCCGGGTTAATTGTATTAAACTAGTTTTGTACAGATATTACGGTGTTTTATTGTAAAAAAAAAAAGAAAATAAATACATAACCCGAATGGAGGACATACGTATATCATATACCTATAGAGAATGATTATTTTTCTAATTATAACCTTGGATATAAACTATAGATATTAGCCATAGGGTGATTTAAGAATACATTTAAACATTTTAACCCTTGTGATTGGCTTGTGATTGCGAAATAAAATTTAAATTCGATTACATGGAAACACCTGTTTTTAACATTATATTCGAATATCCCAATATTTTTTTCAAGTGGTATCAACAGTTACTATTTTTTTCTATCTCAAAAATCGTCTGAGATACATTAATTTATTGAAAAATATGATTTTTAAAATCATTGATCTGCTTTTGAATGTGAGGAAATTTGTCTGGTGTTTCATGGAAACAAAAATTATACGAAAATAACTATACAATTACATGTAAATATTCAATTTTTAGAAAAATAAATAAAATATTATAATTTAATTGTTCAAATATATGATTATATCTCAGGAAATTGAGTTATACAAAAATTCGTTTTGGCCAGTTTTCTGAAATAAAACTTATAATCGCTATCCGGTGTTAAACGTAGCCATATCCCAGGGTCATTTTAAGGAGATTTATTTCGTCCAAATAGACACCCAGTAAAGTTCATTAAACACTCAGTAGTTAGATTTTTCTCCATGTGTGTCCACTAGAAAATTAATAGTAAATTATTATTGAATAAGTACAGATTTTGCCACGAAATATTTGATTTTTTACAGGAGATTCTTTCACGGGGGTAATTGAGAAAAGTACAAAAGTTAATGAGCAAGTTTAATATAACTATAAGTGTAGCTTATATTTTAAGGCTCGTGTACGCGTAGGCTATTGGTGTAGCTGTGGCTTGTAGACACGCAGTTGATATTCTTTAAACAATGACACAATACATTTAAGAAAATGTAAATATTTTTATTGCGTATGCTTACACGGAATGGGCCGACAGATTTCAAAATATGTTCTCTAAAATGTGGTTTTCTATAAAAAATCGCCTTTTAAATACAAGGGACCGTTAATATTTCGCGAAATTTGAAACAATGATCACACAATCACACCGTGTAATATTATAATCAGCAATTGCATTCGCTCTCGGTTACATTGTTTTGGGTGTGTCTGTACACAAAGGTCAATTGAAAAAATAAAGAAAATGGCCGACGTGTAAAAACGAATAATTTAATATTATTCAAAAGTGTACCAATATTGTTACACACATAATATACTGTATATTAGGTATATTTCTATAATAAATATATCTCGCGTCAAAGATAGGGGGGGGGGAAATAAATCACCTCCCCTTTCGACAAATATCCCGACAATGACGGTACAATATAATATACACAATATTCACCATGTAAATAGATAAATATAAATATTATACTTTTTTTTTTTTTACGTTCCGTTACGAGACGGCTTTGTGTGTCGATTATAAATTCGAACGTTGTCGATATGCAAACTATATTATTGTCGGCGACCGTTGGAGACTATAAAAAAAAATAAAAATAAAACCACGCGACCGACTTACAATATCTCTCTCGGTCGTACACCGGAATATAGAAAATCCAACAGATATTATATTATACGGACAACCGTGCGTATAATAACATGTATGTATATATGTATAATGTTCGTATATGCGTACATCGTATCTCGAACGATAGGGTATTCGCACAGGCACGAATAATATATTATACGCGTATTATAGATAACCGGAAAAAAAAAAAAAAGGAGAGAGAGAGAGATAGAGGAAATAGAGGGGAGTCTGATATAAGGAAAAGGACTTTACGCGCCTCGTCGTGTGTATTCGAAAGCCGAAATCTGAATGCGGCGCCATAAAAACGGAAAAAAAGTTTTCGCGGATATAGACGTTTGAGCGAGGTGCATGAACGGCCGGGTCGGTTATTTCGGAATCGTACAACCGAAATAAAAACTACGTAACGGCGCGTCTCGAGCGCGAGAGTTCGCCGACAGAAATTACCTCGTTATATCTCCCAAAGTCGAGAAGCCTCGTCCAAAAGCCTTTTTTTTTTTTTCTGTTTTCTTATATTCGGTGCGCGAAAAGATTTCGCGGGTCGGCCGTTCCGCGGTATTGAGAGCGGCGTTCGCGACCGGGACGTACAATTTGTAGAACCTACCGCCGAAAAGATAGCGGATAAAACAGCGAAAACAAACTTGGCGAATTACAATGATTTTCACGGAAAACAAAAACACCCGTGAGCAGCGGAGTTCTTATGTCATAGTCAAATTTTCCGCCAGTCGACTTGTCGCTATTATAATATCTCATGATTTATTATGATTATTTGTTTTTTTTGTTTTTAATTTATCTAAAAAGGTTTTGGTCGCCCGAGTTTTGTTACATTTTAGTCCGCAGAAGTATTACGTTGATGCTCTCACGGAAATTTATCCCTACTATATTTCACCCTCTCCGTAAAATGTTACAGATATAATAAATTACAAATAGTTAAATACATTTACAAATATAATAAAACACTCTCATCCCATAAAAATATGGTGAAATTCATAATGAAATTAAACTAAAATAAAATATCACTTCAATCCACATACGGTACAACTTTAATTCCCGTATTTGAGCTCATTTGATTGAACGAAAGTTGCTCAATGCGGCCGAAATTCGTTGGAAAAATATGTGTACAATATGAATACTACCTACACACTAAAATCATCGCTATTTTCGTGAATAATTCTGCAATAACGAAAATTGACTTCACCGGAAGTAGAAATTTCTCATACTATACATTATGTTTATGAATTGAAATAGTCGTATGCGTTTTATACGGTTGAAAACGATTAACAAATCTTAAAATACGTAAATAGGAAATAATAAGAAATGTTTTTTTTTCAAAAATATTTCAATATTTGAACGGGAGTAAAACGCGTCGAAAAAGTATTCCTCTACGGGGGAGATTACGGGAAAAGGACGGCACGTGTAAAATTCAATTTGTATTTCACATAACGTGGTGACTGGGACGACGCTGCGGGATCATGCGTGTGTATTACAATAACGTGCGCTGCGCGTATTTATAAAATTAAATCGAAAAATTCGAAACAAACGACAATAACAGTGTATTGAACGGCGGCGGCGGACGGCCGAATAACGAGACGGCCGGACGGTATTAGAAATCGCAGGCGAATTGTGAATTGTTATAACACAGTCGTGCCGGCGCACGGACCGACGCGAACGGACCGCCGGAATCCGAAAGCGAAACGGAACGGCATCCCAACAATGTTATTGTAACGTCCCGAACGGCGAAACGCGGATGTCTCCCGGAACCGAATGCCGCCGAACGGTTTTATCGGGGCCGGGAGCGATTACGTGGACTCGACAACAATAACGGTAATATATTCGCCGCCGGTGGCGAAAGCTTTTAGCCGGTCGCGGAGCCGGTCGGTGGCGGGGGTGGGTGTGTGGGGGGGGGGTAGGTCGCCCTCGCCCTCGACCCCGTCGCCCGATCGCCCCGAAAACACCGTCGTCCCGGTCGACCGGAAAATATACGCGCGCGTGACCTGCGACAACGTCGCCGTGCGGAAGCCCAGAAGAGGCAGCCGCCGTCGTTTTATATGTTTAGGATATCGCGCGACGCCACGGATATCGTTTAACGACCGGACGGCCCCGCGGGTCTACGCGTAAAAATCCGATTCACGGCAGCCGTTTTGCCGTTACGGCGAGACCCGCCCCGACGGACGAAAAAACCCCAACATGGGCCCGGCGCGAAAGCGCAGGCGTTCCGAGTGTGTTTCGGCGTGTCTACAACGGACCGTTTCCGTTACGGACGCGGAGCGTAACGTTTCAACCCCCCCCCCCGCGCCAACACCTTGAGGACGGACCGCCGTCTTCGTTTCAAATCGAACGCGGTGCACGCGTGCGACACGACCGCGTCGCCAGTCCGTTTCGAATACCGACCGTGATTGGTCGCGCGGTCGACGATAAGGACGAAGTGGTTGTTCCGGGACGAAAATCATCAAAAACATATTATAAAAAAAAAAAAAACGCAGGGATTACTCGGCGCTTTTTTCCGTGTCGCTTCGGTATTTTAGCGTAGTGGTCCTTTGTCCGTTTTGATCGTTTTCTTCGCAACGGCACTTCCCGCGCCCGTCTACATCGCGGACACCCGTCTATAACGGACACTTCTTTTTGACGGTCCCGTCGCTATCCGTTAAAATGTAGGCGGTTCACTGTGCCGCGTCCGTACGCGTTTACCATTTACGCACCGGTTTAACGCGCGGTAAACGACCCCGGGTCAATTGCGTGTATTGTCGTGCGGGTCGCACGCGTCTCGCGCATCTCGAATGTAAGAATTAAACTCGTACAGAACAAGGTACCCGGGCAGGTCGTTACGTTTATAACACACGATTTCGTATTCAGTTTATTGTTTGATATTAGCCGATCCCGGTAAAAAAAAAATATTAATTCGCTTATGGTTCACTTATGGCATTCCTAATTCCGGGGTTGTGAGTTTTTATAACGTTTTAAAGTTAACGACGTAAACGCGGTATGTATCCCAACAAGATAAATTGTTTATGATTAACCCGTGAGTGCTGCTTGATACATTTGCTTGTGTCGTGAAATCACGCGATAAATATAATACGAGATTATGTAAAAAACGTTCGAAACTACAATCGTAAACTGTTGCTATGACGTTACATAGTCCGCGGCATAAAAACATTCCATTTCGTAGGTTAATCAATATAATTCGCTATCATCTGCATACGGTCGTTGTTGAACTTCTAATTTACATCATATGCGACTCCGCCGTACAGTCGGATCGGATTATAATTCCGTACGTACCTTTTTCACTGCAATATTGCGTACCTGTTTACCCGTTCAAATTTATCGCAACGTTGAGCATCCGTTCCCGTTTACGGTTATCTTAAAGTTCCGCTCACACTTTCTTTACCTCTTTCTTTTCACCGCCGTATGCAAATTAATATAAATTCAGTCGATTGCGACACCACGATGGTTATAGACGGTAGCCGATCTACAACCGCGTAAGCGTCTCTAAGCCGTTATAAACTATACAATATACGCGTATAAACACCATGGCATACAGTATAAACGATTTCAATTGAATTTGAAAAACCAATTTAAATATTTTAAAAATGCAAAGCATGCGAATTTCCCATGCGTCGTATACTAACTATTATTTGTAATATTAACATTTGTATAATACATTATATTAAAATGTAGAAAAATAAAAACATATTATTATTATGGTGTTAAATCGTTGAAGAAAATTTACGCGCAGCAAAATTTGGCACAAATAGGCTTCCGGAAAAACGTACCTTTTGATTTTCACGTACACGGACTTTTCACAAAAATAAATTATTTTTAATTGGTACGAGTGAGCAACGGCCGTGAAATAATGTTTTTTTTTTTTTTCATTTTGTATTTCTTGTTTTCTCAGCGATACGCCACACGATATTTGTGCGTTTGTTTGTCCGTACCAAAAACAAAAAAAAAAGGTAAGTCGTTTTATGCAAAATCGTGTGTATTTCAGCCAATTTGGTAGGTAGTAGTAATATTTCTGTCCTCCGGGGACGTTTCGGGGATAATAGTATCGCGTATAGTCGCGCGTTCGTCGTCGGTCTGTCTGTCGAACTCCGTAATATGGTCAACACGTCAATCGTCCGGTAAAAAGACATATCCGATCCCCGGCGAATACATAATGATATTATCTTATTTCGGTGCTGTCCGTCCGGGATTTTAGACGCCGATAAAAGCGAACTGAAACGATTCCTATACCGGGCTAACACAGTTCATCGGTATCCATACGATTTTTTTTTTTCACAAAAGTCGGTATTCAACAAAACGATCGATAAAATATATTATGACTAGAGTGTTTATCAAGACAATATTCGACGAACAAGGCCGATAGCGACGATGGATATCTAGGTAGGTACCTAACTATTTCAAACGAATATAATTACCATGGACCTTTTTTTTTTCATCGGAAATCATTATACACCTCCTCGACTACCCGATAGAAGGTGGTTTTTTCACGGATCAGACGAATATAAAGAAGGATCATTATTTTATCGTCTAAAAATGGATAGTACTATGCAGTTTGTTACCCTTTCTTATTTCTTTGGCATACATTTTTTAAAATTGTATAGTTCAAAAGCGGCAAGTCCAATAATATTAATGTTGTATATACCAAAATTTTTAGAAAAATATTTTCTATTCGAATATGTAGGTACCGATTTTTTAAATCAAAAGTGTATACTTATTTAAGGAGTAGCGGATAAAATATTGAAACTAGTGTTTAAATAAAGTTTACACGATTACACATAATGATTGAACAAAATAAAAATCGGAATTTCACTTAAAATCATCCATAAAAGTAAAATTACTGGTTCGTGATAAATGAATCATTCTGTTTAATGGTGAGCACTGCAGCTGTTCTGTATCTCGAACAAAACTTCGAGATGAGCGATGACGTTGGCCCGCGTATACTGAACAGGAATATATTTTCAAAATTCCCGACATTCTCGGTCGGATGCCAGCAATTATATTACCGTACAATTTCTAGGTTAGTTTAGGTTTACGAAGTTTTGGAAAAAATTTCAAAAAAATCGTTTATCTGATAGTGTATTACAAAAGCTTCTTTAGTCCACGCGATATGTTCATAAACTCTCATAAAATACTGCTATCATAGACTGATTTGAATTTCACGAACAAAATATTATTTATAATTGTCTGATTTCAAATAGCACGTTGAAATTTTGTGTTATCATCATATTTAACAATATAATTATGTACAATTCTTATTGTTATTCAGTTCATCAATCAATTTCGGTCACTCATGTCGGACTATCAATTGAAAATAAATTCCGATTTGTTATGCGAGAACTCACCGTAAAAATAATATCGGAAGAAAGAGAAAGAAAAATGATAAAAACGTATTCCACAAATGTTGGGTTCGAATCTGATACCTACGATCAATTCATAGACACCTAGCTCAATGAGGACATGCATTTTTTTTTTTTTTTATATGCAGCAGTATCAGTAATATCGTAAACAAATATCATAACAACTCAAGCCCAGAAAAATTGGACACTGGAACTATACAGCTACTAGAAGTTCCCGTATTACGCTTTTTTACTATCTTATCTAACGATTAAATACCAAACATACACCCATCCTCCCACCTGATTTGATCATGAAGCAATTACACCTATTTACGCCGCTTCTGATCGTTGTAACCCACTCAGACACCATGTCCGACTGGTCGTTTCAACGATAAGGTACCTGTTTAAAAAAAACTGAATATCTTTAGACCAGCCAATAACAACAGCTTATTTCAACACGATACTGAGACTATTAGGGCGTGGTTATACGGCAATACGGGCTGATCGCGCCCAGTGGTAAATCGAAAATTTATATGCGAAAAAAACCCAAAATGAAATATTGACTGAAATAAATCGATACGTATGTAAACCTTTTCAAATGGGTTTGGAGTATGGTATTATTGACGTTACCGTATTTGAAAAACGGTTATCGGCTGGCAAAAACGTTTACGTTTACGGGCCGTTCACGGAAACGCGGTTGCCAGCGAGTGGAAGGGAAGGGGAGTGTCCGTCCGTTTTGAAAACGGTCGTCCCGATGCCGGGAGAATTTCGGGTTGACGGGAAACGGGAAAATTATTCTGTTTGACAGTAATCAAATCGAGCGCGACTCTGTTGGCTTTTCGATTGTTCAATTATCAAAGCATATTTTTCTTTTTTAGATTCTGTGTGTGACGAGGAATGGATATTATTGGTTTAAATACGATGCGCGTTTGCTTTTTTTGTAGGTCTGTAAACCAGAAATTTTGTTCCAATAATCGATGTTCGGAGTGTTTGCACGATTATGTCTAATTGATGCATTTGGCAGGTCGTTTTTTTTTTATTTTTCTCGTGGTTTTCCTAATAATTGGGGAAAACGGAATTATAGCACAATAACGGTTTTTGTTATTTTCGATTTTGTTTTTTTGATGATGTTCAGTTCGAAATAATCTTCTAGAGTTTTGACATGTTTACCAAACGCTGGTTCAAGTCCTTTCTAGATGAGATAAAATTTCCAAAATATTATGGCAAAATCTAAGCCATTTAAGAGTCATTTGAAATTCTCAGGTTTTTAAAATTTTTATTTGATTTTATGTGCATACAATATTGATTCGGCTACTAAAACTACTAAACAATTTGCCAAAAATTGCATCATATGTTTTACTAGACCGTGGCACTATTATGCCGACAATGAAAGCGGAAATTGAATTTCTATTTTATATGGAACGCAATTGAACGAGCGTCGAAAACTCCCTCTTCGGTCATTAGCCTACCTTTTACGATTCTTATTTCGTTTTCGACTCAGTTAAAGTTACATATTATACAATCAACGAGACACATAATAGTAGGTACTCGTTGTTTTGGATTAGTAATAATATTACAACTTTCGCCCGAATACTGTTTAGAAATAATTTAACCGTTGGATAAGAATAGAACAAGGACGTATAGTCATACTATATTAAGAAAACTGATTTCGGCACCGAATTGAAATACATTAGGCAGCAAAATTTTTATCGAGTAAAAAATAAACAAAAAAAAAAACGAAAACAAACACTTTTATCTGATCAAATAACTATATTAAATTAAAAATAAAGAATGAAAAAAAAAACTTTTGATTATCTTAAAGAACTGTAAACGTCACAGAGTATACATTTCGGAGGGGCGGAGAAATTAATTATGTTAAAACACACCAGCCAAAAACAAGAGAACATAACAAAATATATGAAATAAACCATTGGAGTGTTAAACGGCAGCGGCTGGCTGTCTCGTGGGTCTAATAATATTGCAATGTTGTTAAAAGCGGTGCAACTATGATGGTGCAAATATTATACTTTTATATTTTCGGTCCTAAAAAAAAAAAAAATCCTGAGAGGCACTCACGTACTCGTCCCGGCATTCCGACCACGGCAAACCAAAATATTCCACTCTTTTACACAGCCGTGATCACGTTTCGGTGCGTTTTTTTGGAATTTTGTCTTTTACAATGTCAACATTTACGAAGCCGAGCAATTATAAAAATACCCTCCTACTTACCTAATGCATATTTTTTGTAACAAAAGATTTAGGAAACTCAAATTTTCGTCAGTTTTAAGCTTTAAATATAAAGTTATAGTACTTATTTAATTGTACAGATAATAAAAACTATTTAATGTTTTAATTGAGATCAATTTAAGATTACGAAAAGATTTAACGATGAAGTTATAATTTTCATTAACATGTGTTTCCCCATTTTTTTTTGAAAAACAGTTAGAAAGAATATTCTTACTTGTTCGTATTGTATTGCTTAAAACATGCAGGTTTACAGCCTAATGATACCTTATTTAAACAATTTTCCAAAAATTGTTTCATGTGTTTTTTTTTTTATTTTTAAAAAAAACACTTTATTTTTGGTAAGGTGATACATATACATTTGTTCCAATTTTTCACAAAATATCTCAAAAGTTGTAAAACTTCTACTCGTCGGTTCTTCATTTGAAATATTTAAGTATCGAAAAGTTTAGCAGTTCAAACGTTAGTTGACGATGATGTTATTTTTTTTGTTTGATTTGAAATCATAAGTTAAAAGCAACTAGACATGGATTTCGACTGTGAACCTTATAATAATTTTACTACGAATTAAATATCCCATATAAACGAACGAGAAAAAAATTAAATTTTAATATAGATTTGCGAAAATTATGATATCGAGGTAATTAAAAGGTCAGTATAAAAGTTCGTGAGGATTTTCTTGTATTAAATTTTTTTAACATAACTTGGCTAAATTCTTACTTTATTTCAACAAAAACAGACATCAATCTTCACTCATTCCATTGTTTATTTTTTAATAATAATATTTTTAGGAACTGACGAATTTATCTTTATCTTTAATACGTTTAATGAGTTATGCGCGTGCTTACGTGTGTTTCGCCGAATTTGTCATTGTCAACGATGCAGTAGTTTTTTTTTTTTTGTTAATTTGGAATCCTTGTAATACTTTCATATTTTTGCCTCTGTTAGTTTTTTGGTTTAGTATGGTATAATAAATGCAATGTAATATTTATATAATATTTGTTAGATTTAATGACAAACTACCCAAAATTAATTTCACATTACGAACGTAACATAATTTAACATAATATTTTAATAGGAAAATGTATACCCATAAAAGATATTTAACTAATATAAGTATATTAACGACTAGAACCATTCGAAATTTAGTATTGTATGAACTTACTAGTTATTGTGGAACACAATGGAATAAATACTAACTGGATATACCTCGAATGAGTACGTATTATATTGCCTTACTAACTTTTCGAGTTAAAACGCTTATAAGTAATATAAATACATGTTGTAAGTTTACCATAATGTATTGTTCAGAATTTAATAAGTAAACATTTTCATACGAGTGAATTCATTGCATATTAATTTGTGGTTTAAATTTCAAAAACTCAAAAACTCCATGTGATAAATAACGTAGGACGTTTTGAAGAAAAAATGTCAAGAATAAAAATCTAATATATATACATTTTTTTTGGTTATTTTGATATTGCTGAACTTCGAATAATATTATGATCACAAAAACAATAATTTAGACATACCTTTAATCATTCATTAGAAACAAACTTCGCGAGTACTACTATAGTGCTATTTTGAAAATCATTTTAAAACAGAATAATTATCTGTAATATATTCTATATTTCAAAATTTATCTTCGTTGTAACCTAAAAAAAGTGTTGGCACTACTAGTGTGCACCTTGAATGTACATCTGATGTATATGATAAGTTGTAAATGCTAAGAATTATTTATAAAAAAAAAAAAAAAAACAATGACGGCACAAGTAAACAAAGTTTTACAGAATAAAAGTTATCTACTGATTATAAATTGAGTGATTCTACATATAAATAAAATGTTTCAGAATGTGACCATATTTTTATGAAACTTGTACAATTGGTATAGACGAGAAAATAAAAAAAAGAAATTTTCGAAAAGTATTGTTAATTATCCAAGTATGTATACGAATTAATTAGTATAAAGAGTAACAAACCTGAGAATATTAAAGGAAAAGTAGAATTTCGGTACAGGATTCGAAAAGGCAAACCCAGGATAAAATAAATTATGATAGACATTGGTAAGGGTAGTTACAATGAATCAAACGAATTAAGTTACGAAATGGAGGTATAGAGACGGTTGAAGACTAAAAGAAAAGAACTTTTGAAAATCCAAACCTAACCTAACTTCAAAAAAGCTTTCTGATAGGATTTTTGACCCATTCAGAGCATTGGAGAAATGCATAGTATTATTATTATGCATTTATTTCATGGAACCATTTAAACGCATTATAACCTATTTTTTTTTTCCAATAAGAAGTCTAGAAGGAATTTTCATATAAGTATAATAATATAGACATATAGATTCGGTACAATTCCCGAAATATTTCGGTTCTTTTTGGAATCTGTTGTGCTCGCGATAAACCGTATAAATCGAAATGAATTCGCGGGACACGATGAGGGATGAAGAGACCAATTCATTACCTCCGGCCCGAAGACTGTCGTTATTCACCATGATGGCGCGACCGTGTGACATTTGAGGACGATGGTAAAATTCACGTTTGGCAATATTTCTGAGCCAATTGCTACGAGCAAATCGGAGAACGGTGAGATAAGCGAACGAAATGAGGGTAATAGGTATAGATAATTTCGCGACATTGAATTTATACGACACCGAGTGAGACGTTTTTATTTCATTTGTTTATCGTGCGTTACCTATTATATTATTGTGTCCCCGGTCCCGTTTCTTCTTCCCGATCCCGGTGTTTCCGACAAGTTCGGTCGCGGGGATTTTGTTGTCTTTAATCCAACCGATTCGACGCGGCGCGGTGTTGATCTCGTAGGATTAATAGGCACTTAATGTGGGAGTACGATATCGTTTTTGCGGTTGGCGCGTGAACAAAACTTCTCGACAACGGTTAATGAGACATATATTACATTTTGTGTATCACAACAATAAAAATATCAAAACGAACAAAGAGGAAAAAGCCGTCGGTTTTTTTCTACCCACGACGTCATCTAACACAGTCTAACTAACAGGAAACACACCAAAACTATGTTACTTAAAACGTAACTTGTAGCGTTTAGGTTAAAATAATAGTTTTAACATAGATAATGAAATATATAGCAATGAATACGACCAAAGGCTAAAGCCAAAAACTAATACATTATACATGACCATTAACATTTTTGTATATTTAATTATATTTTAGAAAACTAGTAGGTACAACCTTCGAAAATATTACCCTCTTTTACAAGATTTATATTAAGAGCAATAATGTGGGACAGTTGCATACAAAGAATATAGGAGAATTACACGAGCTGGTCATGTATGGGTATAATAGGTTTACTAATATGGGTTTTTAAGCGGAAACCCAACGGTGTAGATCACTTGGTAAGCCAAAACAAAATTGAATAGATAAATCTAGAAAGAAATATGTAATAGACATGGGAATACAAGACGGAGAAGTATTTTAACTAAGGATATTATTGATACAGATAAAAACAAGTATGTGTTGCAAAAATGGATTCCAGTGGTCTTTAAATACCTCGAAGAAGGAATATATTACATTATGTTACTGTACAAATATTCGCATAAAGAACTCAAAAATAATAATAAAAAGTTGTCTATTATATTTTACATTCTAAGGGTTGTAAAAAATGTATTAGTTTTACATTATGTTTTTTTTTTTTTTTTTTTTGAGTAACATTTTTCAGTAGAAATCTTGCTCCGATCATTAAATTCAGACGCGATTTCTGGTAGTTAACACTGACTATTTGTTTGTTGGTGGTGTACGAGATAAACGGGTAACATTTCGTAAATTAGACCGTTAAACGATTTTATAACGACTTAACAAAACCAAAAACAAATTTTACTTGATCTTTTCGTAGATAATCGGTTGACCGCGATATAAAGAAAATCTATATGAAAATGAATCTACCTGATAAACGTACCGAGATGTGCGTACCTAACTTGAACTTACAATTTAAATCGTAAATATCGTATGGTTTTTAATTTATATAGTACAAAAGTTATGTTACATAACTGTTGACGGATAGATTTACAATTTAAAACAGTATTTTAGGCTTTCGAAAAGTGAGAATTATAAGTAGGTACTTTAATAAAGCGGAAACGACATTATAATGTTGCGAAAGTGAAATCGCAATCAGATAACAATATTACAAAGTCATTATTTGAATTCGGAAAGGTGAACGATGCGCGCTCGGTTTTTGTGTTTTTAGTATAACGGAAACGACAAACGCATATGATGGATTACCGTGGCCGTCGTTGGATTGCGCGCAGGCTCGGGGATTTAATTCGGAGTTTTTACATTACATCCCGAAGAAAACAATCATTATTATATTTCAACGAGTGCTCCGTTTCGAGAAGGAAATATTATTGTTATATTTTAGAAAAGAGTACCCGGCCCCGCCTGCGAAGTTATCTGTACACTATACACATCAGCACTCATTTCGTCGGACTTTAAATGGGCCGAGTCGTTCACAATACAATAACACATTTTTTACGCGCTCGAAATGACGGGGAAATTCGCGTTAAAAAAAAAAATATATATATATATATTATAGCTTGGTTGTTGCAACGAAAAAATTGCCGATGTACGACAGATTTATAAGTGATAGTATTTCGATCAACGTTGAATTGACGTGGGACGCGTTTTGTTATCGGTTGTCGATAAGAGCAAAATCATATTTATTTTTTTTGTTAAAGGTTGAACTTATTTTTTCCGTGTTATTTATGTAATAATCCTTCTTTGAGGCGTGAGTTGTGTATGTATTCAATGAATATGTGAAATTAGTGTCGTTTAAAAATAATGATAGAATATAACGTACCCATGGAACTATGGTCACACCTCTTCGCATATTGAATGACAACTATATATTGATCAAGAGGAACATAATAAATCTTTTACTAAAAGTGTTCCTTCAATCAGATCTAGTTTAGAATCAATTTCCATCTAATTGATAAGTTGATTATTGACGACGTAATTGTTTTATTTTATAAAAATCGTAAAAATCATGGCATTTCAAAACATTTTTAATTTCACTTAGAAACACATTTCGTAAATAGTGATTTAAATATAAATAAAATAAAATTATATATCCCATCTTCCTAACATACCACCTATAGCCTACCCATTCCAGTATCAGCGCTCTTTTTTTTTTTTGAACTATTGTTTCAAATCAAAATATAATATTTATGCAAAGGTCCGTAACGTTTATAAACAAACCGAAAAGAGATAAAGAAGGAGCGAGAGAAAGAGAGAGAGAGAGAGAGAGAGAGAGAGAGACGAATAGATTTGTATTATTTTTTCGGTGAATTTCATGAACGGTATTGGGATTTGCTCGTGAAAATTGAAATCACTACCAGACGGGATTTTGATTAATTATATTTCGGAATATCGGCATTAGTTTGTCCGGCGCGTAAGTATATAAACACACACCCACACACACACACATAGACATAGTAATTCCCTGAGTACGATAATAATACTGAAATTATAACGAAATGGTGTGTCACGATATTCGTATATTCGATGGCAGCTGTCACAAAATCAAACTCGCCTATGCGATTTAATGTGTATTTTTTATATTAAAATTCCTTACAAAACTCTGGTCCAACTGTGTAGCTTAAAACAGAAAAAAAAACATCAATGAGTAACAGATGTCCATCCAACAAACCTCGAATTATCCCTCGCCTATTTTGTATTATAGGAAATATCCTTTGCACAACAATACATAACTGTTTACTATAATACTACTTCCAACATTATGATAGAATTAAAACTGACAAAGAAGGCAAAATTTAAAATTGGAAACTTTAGGCAAATTATTTATGTAACAACAGAAATATATCCCCGTCCAATAACATATTATGAATTCGATACTGAAGCTTAATCTGACTTTTATCACTTCAATCCAACTATAAAACAACTCTAACTCTCTAGTGTGTGTTAATATGATTTAAAGGGACTAGCTTAAAGTATCCAAAAGTAGTGGGTAAAAGATAAAGATATATCTTATAAGATATCTCTTTATAATATATAATACAGAATAACACAATTCACGTGAAAAATCTCCATTTTCAGAGAAAAATCAATAAAAAACGAAAGAAAAAAAAACAGATATTCCTAAAAAATAAAACAACAAAAACTGTACCTATTAGAAGATCGTTATATTGTTCCGTTTTTGATATTACTCAAAAATTAGAAAACTTGGCGGGCGTGCAAAGTTTCCGGTTCCTAAACGTATTTTGAATATTAAATTATAATTCTATATATATCATAATTTTGGAAGAATTTTAATATCCTAGTATATTATACTTACGTGCAGCAAGGGAACCTAAAAGTTATATATTATATTTTTAAATAGTTTAGAAGACATTTTTACAATTCCTCAAATAGGTACTTATATTTTAGTATTATTTTTTTTTTTTAATTTTGGAAAGTATGAATTTATATTTAATACTCGCTCGTATTGAAATTAATAATACGATAATAATAATAATGTCAAACATAATGTATAATATGGCCTTGTTCAAACATATGAATCACTCAACATCTGTAACTAGTTATACACTATACGGACGGATGGACACAACGATGATTATAAACTTGTATGTTTCAATTTGTTGTTTATAACCACAGTAGTATTCTGGTAAAAATATCGATCATGAATTGCAGAGCGTATGCCTTGTTCTTTCGTGTTTTGTACAGAAGTTATTTTAAACAACCCGGTTTCTTCTGAGGAGATCAAAATCCAGGACTAGCTACGTTGGATCTTCGTTTAGGTTTAGTTTGTCAGGATTTTTAAACTTCCATTTGTCATATCAATTCATATTTGCGTTGAATTTATCTGAAATTAATTTTTGAATCTGACCAAAAATATCAAGGGTGCCCACAAGACGGGACATGGGGTAAACTCCAATTTAGCTTTACAGCAAGTTAAAATAATCATATCCCAATTCAATATTTTAAAATCCTAAAATTCATTATTGGTAACAACGTGTATTGGAATTTATCAATACACCTAGATTGGTGCCTAGTTGGTAGGTATATTTTGCGATAATAGAATTCCGCTAATTTATTATCGCAATACACAATAATTTATGTCCTTATGATTTGAAGTTGGTACCAACCAAATCTTTAACGATATTTCTTGTGCGTTTTTGTTTACCGAACAAATGATTACACTGTCTAATATATCCAACGCGACGGGATACACCCGAAGATTTTTATCAAATAATATAATATTATATCTTACGTTTGATGTCGTTACATAACGTTATACGATTACAACGGACTTGTGATACTGTACGTATTTATAAGAGATTTCTGTTCGTGTATTATGCACGGAAATGTGCAGACTTTTTACGTTCGCTATATAGCTGCCGATATTATACCCACTATATTATAACTGTATTGCTTTACCGAATCATTACTTTCTGATTGGAAACCGGCAAACTAATAGGTAGTAAAAAAAAAAAAAAAATATCAAACTCGAAAAAAACCCAATTTATATATTGGTTCGGCGGTCTATCGGGCGCGTTTTCCCGCTTTTATACGCCCGTTTACTATTAAGTAATGGCGCGCTGTATAGGCGGTGATTGAAAAACGGTTTATTGTATGCGTTACGCGCATATACAGACTGAAGAAAAGTACACTGTGCACTACACTAATACTGTTCGCGTATAATAGCGCAAATCCAAATGTTTCGATTTTTTTTATTTAATGTAATTCAAATGGCATTCGTGCGATATTGAATTCGACACCAGGGATGTCGTTATATACACGCGTACCTAAAAATGACGCAGGCGCTCATCTGATGTCGTCATTAGATTTCTCTCAAATAAATTGTATCTCGAAATCCAATCCGAATACATTAAAATATAGTTGATACTATAAAATACATAGCGTGTGTGTGTATGCGAATAATCTATTATAAGTATGAAAATGTTTTTTTTTTTTTTTTTTACGTGACTATAAATATTTTGTTCGATTTAATTTTTTTATCACCCGAAATTCCGAAAACGCAAACGGTCGTGATATTATATCGTTTAAAAAACGATAATAATAATATATCGACCGTACCCTGAAAATAACGAACTTTATTTTATTATTTCGTTTTCGTCTTTGTTCCGTCTTCAGTTCGGTTAATTGTGTGGAAAATCTAATGTTGACGATGGCCATACAACTGATTATTATTTAATTATTTATTTTTTAGAATTTCGTTTGAAAAATTATGATGCGGACTTACATTAGTTGGAAAAGATAGTGAGCGATTAAATACGGAAGCCCGAATAATTGAAGGAAGATAGGCAGTGTGAATTTTGATTGTAGAGAGAATGACGTTGCATGCTAAAGAGTAGGCTAGGTGAATTAAAACGGAATATCAGGTCAGCGCGTTTTCACAGGTAAACTAAAAACTATATGAGATAGTAATACAATAGTAACATTTCAGTCTATTATAAGTCAATTTTCAAGTAATCGTAAAGCCTTTTTAAATATTAGTTTGTTATTTGAAAAGTTCTGTAATAGTTCTGGGAAGATCTATCCTCGTTACTGTTTTATTATTGTTATAGTTACTATTTTACTTTTGTATCGCGGACGAGAGAACTAAAAAAAAAAAATTTTTAATACAAAAAAATTCCGAATTACTTATTAATATATACTATAATTTTTAACGAATAAAAAATTTACTGGGGCCTAAGGTCGTGGCACATCCATCAAACACTTTAACATGAGGTACTTACTCTTCACCGGATGTAATAATAGTTCCATTTACTTTAAATAATGTTAAATAATTTGATTACCGTGTATTTCATTTGACCCAAACATCAAAACGCAGTATATCCATCGGACGCCTGGTGCAAGTTCATCGTGCTATACCAACGAATCGTCCGTTTCTCCAATGACCGATGCGATATTCACAAACTGTTAATTTTATACCGAAAATCACCACAGCCTCGAATTTATATTCAGTTAAGATATTGCAAATGGATATAGGTTAATTATGTCGCGTTTGCCCGTCTATAAAAAATACCAACAGAAAATGATTTTAATGCACACTTATGTTCTTCAATGTTATTATGCAAACGAAAACTCTCCTAAATAATTTTGTTATTATATTATGCTCGGTACATTATGCGGGTTGATTTTTTTCACGACGAATCCTATAAACTATAATCGAAAAGCCATAAACTTACCCTATACGGATGTCTTAGCTTCTTGATGTGCGATAAGGGGTTGAGTTATAGTAACCGAATTCAATCTGGAAATAATTCCCTAAGGCAACGAACAACATTGGAGCGAGATGTATCAAAAATATGTTTTCCTCTTTCTATTAATTTGTATAATAATGAACCAGATTAACAATCGATAATGAGGTATAACAGCTTTTAAATTCTGATATTTCACTTATTTTAAATCATTTATGGACATTTAAACTCGACATGCACACACAGTCAATGTGTTTATCTGTTTACTTTTAGTTTTGATATTTTACTTTCATATTAAAACTAGCATCCGGATATTTTCCCGGCTGAACGTCTAATTTGCTCGCTATGTCGTGAGTTTTTAAGACGGGAACGACAACACACGCGGGAATCACGTCCGTTGAAGTTGCGAGTATTTAAATTTGAAACTTGAAATCCACACTCGGGGAGTCGTTTCTAAATTATAACAATAAATGCAAAGTAAAAATTTTAAATTACACTGCAATGTTTGCACATTATTTCTGCTCCATGAAACATACGAGTGCGTTACTATTATAATAAGTGTTTAGTAGTAATAGTAACGAAATGTAACTGTACGTTGACGCGCACTCGTGTTGCACGAACGACACTATAACAAAACAAATATAATGCGAAATATAAATCGCGAACTTGCAAATAGCATAATACAAGTCAAGCAGATATTACTCTACCGTCTGATCTCGATTGTGTTCGCATTGTATTATAGGAAAAAAGAATTTTCAGACAAAATCTTTAAAATGTTCACTTGCACTATAGGTATATCCTTGGTATCAGGGAGGACTTAATTCAATTTAAGGTATTTCGTTTGGCACCTGTTTATCGTTTATTTTTTTAGCTTAAATAATATACGCGTATGTAATCGTAATTTAAAAATAAGTCTATGTAGTGTCCTGATGTAGTAGGTAATGTATGTATTTTCAAAATTATATTGATTTGTATTGAACCTACAATATTTATATACAACCACTTACAACATAATGCTAAATTACATATGCAGTGGCTTACATATGGGCAGTATCAACTTTTTTAAAATATTCAAATCAACAACCTAATTGTTTCAGGTGTTTGTTAAGCAAAAATTAGTCTTGATTTTTGTAAACCAATACAAAAATGATAAATTGATTACACAAATGGTCAGAATATTAAATATAAGTATTTAGGTATAGAAACTATTATGGAAGAATGATAGTTTTCTATTTTATTAGAGGAAAACGGTCTAGATTTGTATTTTGTTGTTCATAGAGAAAAATATCTACGACCGCGGATTTTAGATCATCGTCAAAAACCCATTTTGTAAACTATAGTATAGGAAAGAACATAAAACTCAATATTTTGAAGGGTAGACAAGTTAAAACGTAAATAATAATAAGGTCAACTGTATTTTAGTTCTATTTATTATATATGTACCAATCAATAAACTTCTAACTTCATGATTTTAGTTTTTTTTTACAACTTTTAGTTAAAAAGCGTATAGCCAGGAATAATCTATTAGTGTTACAATAATGTTTTTCTTTTTTTTTTTTTTGTCTTGGCAATCACTTTTAGTACAGTAAACATGCCCGAAAAGTTTCATCTCAGCAACTCGGATAGGTAATTGAACACAAATGACATCACTTTAAAGAATTCAGTTTTTTTAGGGGTAGGAATTTCCAATTTAATGCTCTGCAAATTGGAAGAAAACTTTTGCTTCAATATTAATACTAAGCTTTCAGAAATAACTTTTCTTCCTTTTTTTTTTTTATATACTATATCGTGTTGAAATTAAAAAATTATACTAATACGATATTTTGTTGAACTGCTAAGCGTATATATTAATACTATGGTCGGCTAAAAATAGCTACCCGTTCAAAATACATAATAATTGATACGTTTATAAGGGGAAAAAACATAAAATCTAATCGCCACGACTAAATAACTATTATTGTTACGATGCAACTCAGTTGTGCGTGTGTTTTTACAACATATAAATTAATGAAATTCCATGGAAGGGAAACACAGCAGTCAGTGATTTTTATCATAGAATTTCTGATTGTAGAGCTATTACATTGCATAACTGATAAAATCACTGGTATTTGTGGTCATGAAATTATGAACACCGTGTATTACAAAGTTGCGATTATTCTAATGCTATCACATGTAAAATTTTATATTATTACCCGTTATCTTTAGATGACCCGAAATATCACCCAAATATTTGAGCCTTACTAGAAATATAATTGTTCAGTCTGTAAACCACATTTACACCAGAAATTTTCTTCCAACCATAGAGCAATAATATGACTTCTTTGTACCACTTCAGATCTAATTGGTATCTTGAAGAGATCATTTTTTTTTTTTGCATTCCTTACAGTTTTCTCAATTGTTAGGAAATATACATAGGGCAGACAGAAAAATGTATGGAAAGGACGGTTTTATTATTTTTGATTTTATATTTTTCGAAATATAGTTAAAAATAATCGTACAGATCTATCAATTTAAAAAAAAAATAAATATTATTCGTATGTTTTAGACGTGGTAACATTTTGTATACATTTTGTCGATTTGTTATATATGAAATTTGAAATTTGATACTTTCAAGTTTTTTTTTTTTCGTTTTCGCTTTACTTATAGTTTAGTGAAGATAAAATTGTTTTTAGTGAACATAAATGCTTGACAATTTTTATCAGGGTTCAACATAAGGTGTACCGAGGTCAATAGAAACGCCACAAAAAATTGTAAAAATGACGGCAAATCAAAACCAATAAAACTGAATTTCGCTCATAATCGTATTTTGTTCGCAATGCGATTTTATTGTTTCGTACGGTCAGAATTAAAACAAATCTGTTGCAAATGCGACATTACCTTATCAACTTTTTTTTAATTTTTTTTTTTTCATACGTGTAGGTTCGTTAATATATTATAAATATTTTAAATATTTATGAATTCATTATTTTTAAAGCGTCGTTTTAATAAACGCGTCAACCATTTCATGTAAGGTATTTTTAATCAATTTTATTTTTCCTTTAATTCGACGGATGTCGCACGGGCCGAGCGCGTTACAATGCGTTACGGCGATATTTAAAATAATTATATTTATCGCGTCGCGGGAGAAAAACTGAATTTAAAAATAATAATTATATAATCGCCGGAAACCGGCACGGGTACTCGAAGTTAACAACAACAACAACAACAACAACAATATTGTTATTATTATTTGTTCCGGGACATACATAATGTATTTAACGAAGTCTATCGATCTTAATACACTTGTCAGACCCTTCTCTCGCGAATCGTATGCATCATTAACGTTTCGATTATTTTCGTCAAAATAAATGTATATTGTATTGCGTAATGTCGGTTCGCAGGTAGCTGTAGCCGTCGAGAATGTCATAATCATAAATAATCACGGGAATACGTTTTTCGCGCCGATATAAAATACAGGCGCGTCAATAATATAATGCCGCGTGGCGTACCGACACGTGGGGGGGGGGGCCAAAAGTCAGTTTATTCGGTTTACACGATCGGGGCGGGTTGGGGGGGAGGGGAAACAAACAAAGTCTACAGTTGTAGTTTTTACGTTAATTCGCGAGTGGGCGGGGAGGGGGGAGGAATTGAGAAAATCAGCCCCGTACATATTGCCAGTTCGAGCATCTGTATTAGTGAAAACCAAAAAAAAAAAAAAAATGTTTCCAATTTTTCAGTCGGCGGTTTTAGATGTACATTTTATTTTGTTTTTTTTTTAACAGTTTAAATCGTTGCCGAATAAAAATATGACACGAACGTAAATCGTCAAAATGAAATAAGGAACACATAAAGTCCTGTAGTCGATAAGAAGAAAATCAATATTGACAATGTTTTTAGCGGTGAATCGTAAAAATTTTTAGAATTTTAATAAATCATCAACTTGGTATTACCTACCATTGAACTATTATTTTCGTACACTGTCTTTTCCGTTTCGTAGCTAACAACTTTGTCGATATTATTTTCTTCTTACACGTTTACTATCGAATCTTATTTGTTCTTTATTACATTCTGATCTGCATGCCATTTTTTTTTTTTTACAGTACAATAAAATATATATACTCAAATACACCTAAAATATTAATACAGACGTTTGTTAGAAATGTATATAATAAATAAAACAAAATTATTAATGGATTAAAAATGTATACGAAAAAAATACGAGAAAATACCGGATTCGAATATGTTAAAAATGCAGTATTAATTTAAAATAAAACGATTTAGTCCGTAGTTACATAGGAATTTTTATTAAAAGAATTTAAATGGCGTAATAGATAACCGTGGAAAATTATTTGAACGTAATTTTACGGTTTATAATTATTTAAAAAAAGAAAACACGTTTTTAATTATGTAATGTTATTATTAATAAATTGTTGTATTATACAAGTTGTAATACAATTCTGTATATTCGCGTGAGACGTTTGTGGCCCGATCGAATAAAATTATAAATTTAATTTCTAGTCCAATGTCAAGGCGATAAAATGTATACGAAGCGGCGAAATAAAACATGTCCGGATTACTGACCACCAATAGATTGAAATTATGTACGTAAAATACTGTACATTTGTATATTACTACCTAGTATATAATATATTATTCAAAAGCAAATAAATCGATTTAGATGAGTCGGATGACTATTTGTTTTTAACTGCATTCGATTAAAAGTACTTTAATCAATTTTTAAATATAATGAAAATGTAAGCGGTAACTACGTCATTTTTCCCAGTCAAATGTCAATTTATCCAGGCATACGACCAGGGATGGAGAGTATTTCAATTAAATATATCTGAAATACGTTTTGTATATTTTGATTTGAAAAAAATCGTAATTTATATTTTGTATTTTGTATTGGTATATTTCCAATGTAATTTTAAAATACTCAAAATGCAAAATGCAATAATGAACGAATTTGTGCGGATAGACCGGTCGTGTATAAAAAAAAAAAAAAAAACACCCACTGTGACATTTCTTCGACAAATATTTTGTCTAAACAATATTGTGTTATTTATCTATCTAGCAGATAGGTTAACTTTAGCAAAGGCATTCAGAGATTTTGGTATTCAGCAGTCTTGTGTAAATTGAGTAAGTATATAGACATTTTTTTTTTTTTATATATATTCTAATTTTATAAAAATTATATGGAATATCTTTTAACTTCCAAAATATCAGAAACCATAAATAATATACTAAATATTGGTTTCATTCATTCTTGTTTAACTCGTTGGAAAAGTTTGTTTGATTCTAGGTTTAGCACAATTAATCCAAATTAAAAAACCCCTGAATTATCTTTTAAATGTTATAATAAATTCAGAAAAAACAATTATATTTACAGAAATTGAATACAATATATGGACATGTTATATTTGCATGAAAAAAACATTCGCCGACGATTTGAAACTCTTCCTCAAAATAATTTCTGTTCATGATTGCCACGAACTCCAATATGACCTTTATAGACTAACTTTATTGGTGAGGAATTAGGCCTCTCTCTTAATCATATCAAGACTTTTGATGACTCTATTCGTGTCTTAGGATTTACACTTACTCATAACCTCTTCATAAATAAACATACAGAAGAGATTTGTTGCAAGGCACTTAAAGGTTCTTGGTTTTATTTTTAGCTCTTACCAACTATTTCACCTAGTCCCACCCCTTAAAATCCTCTACTGCGCGTTAGTGAGACACATTGTTAAGTACGGCAGTGTGCCATTTAATCCAGAGACCACATCAGCCAGCGTTCTAGCGGAGATAGCTCAGAGAAAGTTTCTCTGTGCCGTTTCATTTCAATTCTATATTTCTTATCCTACCTATGATTACTTCTGTTCTATGCACTCTGTCTTTTATACATTTTAAAGTCACCTCAATAAATTCGGTTCTATGTGCCATTAAATATTCCCCATTCATCTACTAATTTTCTCAATAATCCTCTTATAAACCGTCTATGTAAATTTACATAGACATGATAATCATATTTAAATTGAGTACCATAAAAATACGTTTATCTTAAGAATGGCAAACACATTCGGGTTTTTTCAACGTCATGACGTCATAAATTGATTCAGAGTGATAAAATGATAATACTTTAAAATTGAATATTATTAATAATAAATCATACATTCCTTGGTTGTTTAATTATATTTTCGATACGTATAACGAGGTTTTTTTACAGTCTAAACTCAAAAAAAAATGTTAAATACCGTAACCTCGCTGGTCCGACGCGTCCCGTCATTGATAATCCGAGAGATTAGATACCGCTACGTAATGCATACACATTACTTACCTACCTAAAGATGGATGAAATCGTGTGCCTACCTAACCTACGTCTATTTTTGTACGAAGACGTAAGAATACACGCATTTCATTAATACATTCAAAGGATAATATTGTTTTACGTGCGTTCGAGTAGATTAAACCATGTACGGCGTATTAGGTAATTAAATTACAATTTCTCAGTGAGATATAAAATTAGGTACCTACTCGACGCACAGTCGATATTTTTATTATAGGAGTTCGATGTGTTAGTGATTCGACATAAACATACATTTTGAAGTAATAATATTTCATAAAGATATATTAGGTATTATTATATTTGTGTTATCGGTTCGATTTACGAACATTAAAATAGAGAGGTCAAAACTCTGTTAATGGAAATTTTTTTTTTTTTTTTTTAACTCTGCGCAAGCGTATAATACAGTGTATACTGAACAGCGTAGTTAGAAATAATGTAATACAATGGTGTGTGTGCTTTTTTTTTTTGTCTCTTTGTAAACAACATTTAACCAGATATTTTTATTCGTTCAACAATATCAGGGAGTGGTTTCTGTTAGACAGTTTTGTCTGGTTCGTGTCTTGGGAAGATAATTTTTTTTTTTTTATTTAGCTTGTAGTTTTTCTTAATAGTTAGATAAACCGGTGGGAAAATCACCGGGAAAACAGGAATATTTACAAAATATCGATTTTTTTTTTTTTTTTTTATTGCAATTTAGTTCAAAATAACTATAGATACTCGCCAGAAATATGCATAAAATACTTTTATTAGCATTTTAAAGTGTTAGTATAATTTTCAAAATAATTAAGATTTTTTCGAGTAATTGACGGGTAATGGAAATATTCGAATTTCGTTTAGTTTTTACAATGCTAGTTTCATGGAGAAATACGAGATAAATTTTTTTTTTTCGGCTTCATAAATATCGAAAATTCGTATATGGAATATTATTTTTCCCAGTGTTTATAGTTCAAAGGTACATTAAAGATATTAATCAAACGTCAGTAAACCTATCAGCTATGATAAGAGTTGAATTGTTTTTTTTTTTTTAAATCTATTTACGCGTATAATAATACGATTATATTTTACATTTCTCTAGAAATGACCAGTGTTTTCGCAATGATTGATTAAGACACTCGAATGTTTAGTGCGTTGATATAATATATTATACAATATGCAATTATAATTTTGATTAAAATCGATTTTCTATACAGTTGTCTGAAATGCTTGCACCAGCCACGACGCCGATAATAATAATTAAAGCCAGGAGAAGTTACCGCCCCTTCATATTTCTTTTAGGTAGTGTCGTGATACACTAACTAAGATTTCTGATCTAAAGATCATGAATATCTCATATTACAGCCGTGTATTAGACGACAATAGTGGTAGTATAGTTATCCCGGGCAGTATAAACAATACGATATAGTGGTGTGCATACTTCGTTTTGAACATAACAAGAAGATTTAAATTTACCATAATAGGAGTCAACCTTACATTTTTTTTTTATCTGCGCGCGTGAGAGGGATGGGTGGGAGGTAACAAAAAGAAAAATAAACGTTGCACAACGGAAATATAATATTAGATCGACTATTTATTACAGTAGTACCAACAAAGTATTACTCTAGATAGTGTTCCATAGAGATAATATTAAATATGCCTAAACAAAGATGATAGACAATTTCTAGAATAATCGTTTAAATATATATGTAAAAGATTTATAGTTTTGTCCACTTCGTATCATAAAACTAAGTGTAAATATGCGATAGTAAAAGCGTATCAGTTTTGGTACACGTCTAGATTTCATTAAGCAAATGTATTTATCATTTAATTATTTATCGTATTAACGCCAAACGGAAATTATATAAGTAACACAAATACAACACGAATATAATATGTAACTAGGAAGAAAAAAATCGAAAGTAAGTGAATAAACAAAGTAAATTAATTCAAAACAAGTATCTTATTGTACTAAACATTGATCGGTTCGGTAGTTAATCTGAGGGATCGTTATAAAGAAAACGTAGCATCCATCCTATGTAACAGATGATTGTGACCATAAGAGAGAAAATGAGTTTGGATAGAAAATAGTGTATGTTTTCTTGAGAGATAGATCAGGAGGCCAAAGTTGATAGAGAAATTGAGGTTAGGAGAACCAGTAGATCCATCAAGTAAACCTTGAGTGAAACGAGAATCAGCATCGAGACAAGAAAAATGTGATGCGATATAAAGTGTTTTTAGTACGGTTGAGTAATTATATTGGGGATAGTCAATTTTGAGTAAAAAATCAATGTATGAGAGAAACCTATTCTGTACGCTATCTAGTCTTAACTGGTCTTTCACTAGATAAGAGTGCCCAACTTTCACACCAAATTCTAAAATTGAACGCACAAGGGAAAAGTAAAGTATACGGGATAACTGATAGTGTTAAATATAAAACTAAACATAACGCTTTTTAAATCCCAGGACTATAAGCGCTTGGCAGACAGTGGCATTAATGTGGTGGCTGAAATTGAATAAAAGAGTGAAATATACACTGAGATATTTAAAAATAAAAACACGTTCAAGAGGGGAGCCTTTAATACGGCGGAAGAAGAATGTTAGATTACGACGCCTAGAAAAGGTCGTAACACGACACTAAATCCATTATGCGAATTTAGGTCCAATTGGCATTGTAAAGTCTGAAAACAATAAATATTATTAATTTTTAAAAAAATTTTCATGCCATTGGCAAAAAGAAGGAATTAGGCCTCAGTGATCGACCTGCTTATTGAGTTAACGAACAAGATAAAAAGTAAGACACTAAGATTACATCTTTGAGAATACCAGAGGATATAATAATTAAGGATGAAGACTTTTACAAATTATTGCCTATCAGAGAGATATAAATGCAGCCTTGAAAGAAGGAGGTTACCGATACCTAGTCGATTAGGTTGACCGAGAAGGAGGTCATGGTTATCAAAGGCAAATGCTATTATAATATCAATAAATACGACCAGTTTAGTGAAAATTGTCAAGCGAAAAAGTAGTAAAAGCAACACTGCTAGTGATCGTAGACTTTCTAAGTCTGAATCCACGCTGCTCAGCTATAATAATATGATTTAGACTTCTTTTAATGTTATAGTATACTAGGGACTCAAAGAGCTAATGCGGAATTATAGAGATTGGCTTATAGTTCAAAACATCAATTGGGTCAACAGTCTTGAAAACTTGCGTTACTTACCAATTTTCCAGACAGAAGGAAAGGTGCTTTTAGATACAGCGAATAATAGATAACACGAATACGTGGCTAACGATTAATTGTAGTATTTGGTATTTACGCAGT